CATGGTTTAAATTATTGTGATGACCAAATCTGGCTCAGTCCAGACAATGATCTTGATTGAGTCCTATGTTGGGCAGCTCCAGAAACTTGGATATGACCTCACATGGAAGAAAAAGGTGACATCTTTGGATTCCTCGATTAATTTTGAAAAACAGGGAGACAATGTTGAGCTACTCAAAAGGGGCTCATCAATAAAGTCATCGAATATACTGGTATGTCTGACGCTAGCAAGAAGCTTTCTCCTGCCGCCACCGTCCTCTCGGGGCTGACAAACTGGGGGCCCCATTTGAAGAAGAGTGGAGCTATCCAGCTGCAGTTGGGATGCTTCTTTATATTCGTCGAACACTCGCCAGACATCACTTTAGTGTGCACCAGGTGGCACGATTCAGTCACAATCCCAGGCATTCCCATGCTCAAGCAATCAAACGTATCATTCGGTATCTGATTGGCACAAGTGAAAAGGCATTTGTTTTAGCCTAAACTTGATCAGGGACTTGACTGTTGGTCGATGCTGACTTCGCCGGATTGTATGGATATGAGGATGAACAGGATCCGGTGTCCGTCAAGTCTCGCACTAGATTTGTCCTGACTCTGTTTGGGTGCCCTATATCTGGTCCAGCAAGCTACAGACTGATATTACTTTGAGCTCCACTGCTGCCGAGTATGTTGCCTTCAGCATGTCAATGAGGGAGCTGCTTCCTATGCGAGCTTTGCTCAAAGAAATTGGTAGCAAACTGAATATGCCGGTAATTACTGACAGTCTCGTGCGCTCTACGGTGTTCGAAGACAACCAAGGTTGCCTGTCTCTTGTGAATGTTCCCAAAATGTCTGCGCGCAACAAGTATTTGGCATTGAAGTACCACTTCTTCAGGTCCAATATCGGGGAGTCGAAGGGAATCGTGGCTAAGTATATTCCGACTCTGGAACAACGGGCCGACATTTTCACTAAGGGTCTTCCGGCTCCACAGTTTGCTGTCATTCGGAAGCTCCTCATGGGATGGTAATCTACCTCAGCACTTTGCTGGGGACTCTCTCCTATCGTTTCTTGCTCCAGCTTCATTTCAGCTGTAAGGGAGTGCGACGGGATACAGCTTACAATTCAGCTTTACAGCTTTACAATTAGCAGGCTTATTCTGGAAAATAATCAATAACTGCTCACTTATTTGGAAATACAAACTTTACATCTCTTAGATCGTTAGATTAATCAATGCACAATGGTATTGTCGCAGCATACCCTGGTCAAGGTCGCCCCAGCTTTCACCGGAGGGTCCATCAAAGGTCTCAAACTCAATTTCATGCCCACAGTCGCCCTCTTTCATTTCAGCTTCCGTCTCCAAGAAACTCTTGGCCTCTTCAACGCCACCGCAGCAACCATCTACTAAGCTATGATTGATTGCATTCAAGTGGTGAGCAGCCATTCGAGGTTGCATGACGTGCACGTGCAGCATGCTCGATCGAGACACCTACCAAGATAAATCCTCCGTTCCGCAAACGTTCGACAAATCAGCGCCAGGATTATCGACGCACGCCTTGGTCTCCTGGTCTGCCTCCAAGCCACATTCGTTGAAACCATCAAAGGATTCACCTGTTTCATAGGTGAACATGGATTCACCCACCGTTCGAATACACCAATTATCAACACAGTAGTCATAAGATTTGCTGTGAAATAGATACAGAAGGATGGACGTAGTCAGGGCATCGGAATCGAATCAACTGCTTGGGGATTCTGGCTGAGCGAGACCTCAACTTACTCAAACTTCAAGTCCTTCTTGTTTGTTGGCACTGTCACGGGATTGTTGTTCCTATCCATCCAGTCGTTCGACTTGTCGCCGTCAGGAACTCCTCCAAGAAGTCCCACAAGAGTTTCTTTGCTGACTGGCCAAGTGTACGGAAGACAATACTTGGCAGAAAGCACGCAACCGTTTGCAGAACTATTCTTGGCCAAGATCGTAACCTGGAGACCACTGTTGTGATGGTAGAAGACGTAACCTTGAAATGTAGAATGGCACTTCGTAAGATCTAGGGATGCCATAGCAGGATTCATGGAACGACCTCTGGCATGTCTTACCTTCGAACTTCTTGCTTTTTCTCTCTTCGAGTTGCACCTGTACTGTCGAACCGGGGATAAATTGTTCCTGCAAGACATCCGTGAGGATACCGCCTACATGGACGTGCGGACGGCAACTTCCATTCTGGGGGGTATCCGGCGCAGTCACTTGCAGCTTGGGATCACCATCCCCGCTCTCCCAAACAACGCTCTTGGTCACAGTAGGGCGTTTGTCGGACTTAAACTTGACAAACCTTCCCTGAACTTCAAACGGTGAGTCAAGCGACCTGAGGACATGGAACTCTCCTTCACCTTGGCAATCAAACTTGAGGCCGTCAAAGGTCTTGAAGTGAGGGTCTCCAGACCAACTCCCCACGATCCCGGAGCACTCGTGAGGAAGAGGAATAGGGTCGGGCGTCGGAGCCTTGGTAGGAGGATCACTGGGTGTCGGTGGATCCGTCGGGCAATCGGGGCAGTCGCAAGCAGCACATCCCGACATCCCGTACCTTCCGTTCGTCCAGCCCCAGTAGTCAGCACCGGCATCTTTGGCACATACATCAAGTTCTTCGTCGTGCGCCCAGACCTCCTGGCAGGTCTCAGCTGCATGGACAGAGACAGTAGCCAAGGAGGTCACCGCCGCAAACAAAGCAAATGTCGAAGCAAACTTCATGTTCAAACTTTAGAATTTCGATCAAATATGCGGCCGAGCAAGAGTTCAATGTCACCTATGCTTGATTTGGACCATATCAGAAGTCACGACAAGCAGCTTACCTCAGGTCTTCCAGCTCAACGTTGTCACTTGTCGTCAAGTTGTGCACTCTCATGAATTCACTTGACCGTGCGGTAACAGGAGGAGTAGTGGAAGTGGCCAGGTCATTGACACATAATAAGATTCTTAACCATCAGATTTCGGATAGCCATAACATCAACAAGCAGTCAAAACCTCTGGAGTCCACGGCTAGCTAGAGGTTGCCGGGGAGCCCGGCTAGCTAGATAAGTTATTCTACAATAAGTGAGAGTCGAGTCATTGGTGTTGGATTTCAATGTCGTTGGAGGTTATCATAGATCTACTAGCTATTAATAGATCGCGATGAAGCTTGAGCCCTGCTAGTCCTCAACGAGTTTGACTTCGATTGGCAGATAGATAGTGTTAGCTAAACGTTGCTAGATAGCAATGTCAGGAGCTAGCTACAGCTAGCCAGCCATCTGTGCCTCTTTTGGTCAGGGGCGACACCAAGAGAAAGAGACATCGACTTCAAAACAAAAACAAAAACTTTTACAGAAGATACGATGATACCCATTTTTTAGTTAGAGGCAAGGCTCGGATAGCCATTGGAACGGCGCACTCCTCCTATCAAAACCACCGCACAAGTCAAATAAATCGTCAGCCGACCGTGCAGATGAAGCAGTTTTTACACCGCGAAGCGTCTCGTGGCAGTCTCGTGGCTCAAACATGCTTCGTGATCCGAGTCCCGAGTTTGCTACGATTCATCTGTACCGTTAGTGACTGATGAGTCCCGTTTTCTCCTACACAAACGTCAGACCGAGTTTTTTTGTGTGATGGCAAGCTGTTTTTTTGGGAACGAAGGTGGGGAGATGATGAGCTGTTGACGTCTTGACTTTGCGGCATTCTTCGTCTGGATCCTTGCACTGCGTGCATCAGGGCTCTCACAGAATCGAATCTATTGAATCAGTGGCGAGCTAGCTAGCTAGTTAGAGAAAGAATACCAGCAGCAAAACAGCGACATTCTGGGCTTTCCTGTGTACTTTTGCAACTAAATTTTCTGAAAGCAAGCGAGCAAGTGACGATGAGATTTGGTGTCGGCGCTCTCACGGTGGCTTTGGCACTCTGTGGAGCCTCTGTGTCCACCACGGAAGCTTTCAGTGGTGTGGTTCGACCATCCCCACGACGGGCTTTTGGAGTCGCATGGAGTGCTGCTCCCACCAGCCTTGCTTCAGGTATCAAAACTCGATTTGTGAGCACTTCTGCTACTAGACGACAATTGGCAGCTGGAGATGACGAAGAAGATGGATACGATGAACCACTCGCCAAAGGCGTGGATTCCGTATCATGGCTTCCTACCGTAGCGGGATCCAAGATGGTGGAAACTAGTTCGGATGGTGTTGAGGTACGTCACGTTGTTCAGATTGGATGGACACACCACAACTGCTGGGTCTGTGCTACTTTTTTCTGACTTCTCTTCCTTACCTGCCTATCCTTCTCTTCTTCAAACTCTTTATCCTACCACTCCATCACTCCATCAATGAATGAATCATACAGGACGCCCAAGTCCTTCCCTTATTTCCACTGGGTGGAATTGTCTACACACCCAACTCGGAACACGTACTCAACATTTTCGAACCACGCTACCGGTCCATGTACAATGACATTCTCATGAATGGCACCAAACGCTTTGTCGTGAGCATGTCGCATCCCACTGAAGCCGGACGATTCGCCCAAATGGGTGTCTTGTTTGAATTGCAAGAACTCAAAGAAGTCAGCGAACAAACCGCCGATCAAATCAAATATATTTGCAATCATCGTGTCACGGGCCGGGTCAAGATACATCGGGTCCTCAATCCGGATGTCTGGGAATCCCGATCCACCTATTTGCGTGTAGAAGGAACCATTTTTGATGACAGTGGACGTGACGATGAGGATGGTGAAGATGATGACGAAACAAGTGAGGCGGTGGAGGAAAAGAAGGACGAATCCATGGCCAACGATGTCTATGGAGCCGTGACGGCGGCGTTGGGAAAGTATTATTCCAAGGAAGAAAAGTCGCTCAAGGATGCCTTTGGGGATCTGGTGGAGATTCAACATGAACTGGAAGAAGATGTACGATTCACCAAAGCATCCGTCCTGAGTCTGGCCGTCAAACCAGGACCAGGAAAGGACGGATTGTGGCAAACGGTGCGCCTCTGGCAGAGCTTTGCCGATCAACGCTTAATGGCACGTCAGAATGATCTCCAAAAGGACTTTCAAGAGAAATTGCAAGAATTCCTCAAGAAAGAAAAGGGACTCAAGGATGAGGAGCTTCCAAGGTACGTAATAAGATAGATGGATGATGCTCAATGAAAGAATGAGAACGAGCTGCCCAAGGAACAGCAACCATTTATGTTCAGGGAATCTGTCATTTGGTTATTCATGTTTTGACTCACAACACATGCATTCGCGACTATTTGATCACTGGAAACAAACAACCAAAACGACAACAACAACGCACAACTACAGTGCCATTGGATTTCAGGATTTGTCGCCAGGTCTGCAGCAGGAAGTACAAGATCTGCAAAAGCGCATGGCAGTGGAGCTGCAACCCTTGGTTCTCGAGTCGACACTCACCATGCAAAAGCTGCTAGAAACAGAAAGCCATGAGGCTCGATGCAAGTTGCTACAGTTCTTTGTGGAAGCCGAACGGAAACGACTGGCAACCAAGAAATCATTGGCAGGAATGTTTGCTGGTGAAACAGCTGGCTCATCGGCTGATATTCCAGAAGAAGAACGGCTAGGACCATCGTCGTCGTCAAAAAGCAGTAGTAGCGACGACAGCAGCGCATCGTCCAAATCAATACTCACAGATGAGCCAGATGCATGGGGCTAAAGAAACCAAACGCAAAAGCAAAGCAAAAGTGTAAACAAAACCAACACAATCTGCCAGTGGCTACACTGCTTGTCGAATGTAGGGGTCAACCATATTGTTTCATGCCTCTTTCTTTCATAATAAGACACTACACAACATTATTGCTGCAGTTTCGTGGAGTCGAGTCGGAAAGTGCGAGATTGGCCTGGAATTGACACGGGGTCTTGCAAATCCCCAATCGTACGAACCTTTGCGTAAAAAGTTGGTGCACCCCTAAGCGACATAGCTCATCCATGTCTTGGGTTCTTGATGATGTCAGATCCAATCCAAATCTCAACCAGGAGTGAGGCAATGTATGTGACCAACAAGTGAGGCTCAAGAGGGAGCGAATCGTGTTCGGGAAAACTGTGCTCGTACCAGTGCCGTAGATGGATGATTTGTCCTCATTGTGTTCCTCAGATCGTTCACCATTGCTCTGCACCCGCCACTGCCAATGCCCAACGACTGGGGTGCGCACCGGTACGGTTCCAGTGCCGAACAAAGCAAAAACAAAGCAACCAGTCTTCTGTTTCTTGTTTGGAACGAAATGCATATGTGCTATAGTTGCGTCACGGTCCACAGGTACTGGGTCACTTCATGATCTTCTCCCAACAAGTGCAACGCCAATTCAATGGGAAGCAACTGCTGTTTGGAGCCATCGTCGGGTAGCCCCGTTTGCAGATTGGGCGATACTCCATTCTCTTCAATGAGAAACTTGACAATGCGCAGGTTCCCATACCGTACCGCTTGATGGATGGGTGCCCAGCCATTGGAATCTTTCTCGACCAGCCCTTGTGGTCGGACTTTTGCCATCAACTGGAGGGTTCGAATGTGGCCCTTGGCCACTGCGTCCATGGGATTGTTGAGCTAAGCAACAACAAAAAACGATTGGTAAGTAATGCATGAGTTGAGATGAAAGATATGCCGTCTGTGCCAGCTAGCTGGCTGTTCGAACGAAAAAGTGTGTGAACTCACCAACTCCCATCCATTTGGATTGTCCCTCTTCCATTCTTCTTCCCACTTGGATCCCGGAATGATGTAGTGCGGTGCTCCATTGCCATTGGTACCCAATTCCCCCCGAACCAGCCCCCCTACGGGTTCAAAGTGCAGAAATACATTGGCGAACAAAGTTCCTTTCAAGGGAAAGGGGCGTCCGTGAATGACGGAATGGCTTTCGTAGAGCACCATATCCCCCGGTTCCATGGTAATATTGCGTGCCTGTCCCTTGTGATCATAAATTTCCAGCGGCCACGGTTCCTCGACACCATCTTGATCGATATTGATGATGCACGATGCCACCAGTGGCATGCGATCGACATGTGGTGTCAAGATGGATTGATTGCGATACAAACGAATCCCATAAACCGAAACGGGCGTCAATTTTTGTCGTGTCCATCCTTCCAATATGGTTTGTACGGCTTGACTAATGCGAGCTTGCAATTGAGGGCCACCTCCCTGTAATGTGACATTGTCCAGTCGCAGAATCTCCGTGTGTCGATCCCATAGATTGTGGTACGGATTGATGCTGTCGGGCCATTCCACCACTTGTTGTCCTTGATTGCGGGTATAAAACTCGGTCAGCAATGCCCACAAGGCGGCCGGTGTTTTGGTTTTGGAAACCCCCGACTGTGTAAAATTGTAGACCGAAGGAGGTTGATGATTGTTCATGTACAGGCGCAGTGCTTCTTGGCCTTTGCAGTAGGGAGACGCTTTGCGGCAATTCTGGAGGAAACGATCGTACTGTTCTTGATGATAGGGATACTTGAGATGGTCACTTTTGATGGCCCAAGAGACATCGTCAAATGCAGAATAAGAAGAGGAAGATGCATTACTGCTGGTACAAACAGGAGACACTCGTTCTTCTTGTTCGGACTTGTCATGGACTACAGCTGACCCTTGACAGTGTTGCTGCTGGATCAAGGCAAGAAACAGCATTACAGCCGTACTGGTAGAAAAGCATCGTAATCTTATCTTCATCTTGGTTGCTCCGTTCAATTGTCATTGTGGCTGTCCGTCCGTGGCAGATCTTCAGAAGCTCGGTTTCTCGTCGGGGTTCGCTTCCTCAAAAAGGAACCTTCCAAGAGCTTTTCAGTCGCTCTGCTGGCTAAGCATCAACCCACAGCGAAGCCTGTCTTTACCTCCGACCTCTCCAACCTCCAACCGTCAACACACAACACCTCTCCGACATAAAGACAACCAGACAAGTCGTCTTTCGTTTCCTCTGTGAGGGTTTCGATTTGGAATAACCCAAGAGGACTACTAGTCTAGCTAGAGCTAGCAGCACAACGAAATCTACAATTGCTGCAACATCAATCACACAGATATTCTATTCAGCAGAACCGCTAAAGATCCTTGGGTGTCGTTGTGGTACACGTCCGGTGTTTGGAGCAATATTATTATTTGAATCAAGAATACCACCATGTCGTAAGATGGCCCCTCGTTGCGGGATGTCTCTTGACATTATGTATTGTTGGCTTCTCCACTCAATTGTTTTTTGTGTTTGTTTTTGTCGAATGAATCCATCACATCACAGAGCAAGAGGAGGAAAGGCATTCCGCCCAGGAAAGTTTTTGCGACCTCAGGAGTACTCGGATGACGATGAAGACGACGAGGATGATGATGACTCGGATGAGGAGGAATCCAATTTGAAGCCCGCCAAAAAAGCCAGTGCCAAACTGTCGTCGTCGGAAGATGAGGACGACGAAGAAGAAGAGGAGGAGGAAGAGGAGGAACCGTCGTCCAAAAAGCGCAAGGCGTCTGGATCCAATGGCAAGCAGAAAAAGCGTCCCAAAGCCAGTTCTTTTTTTGATGAAGAAGCCGAGGCGTCGGAAGATGATGAGGACGAGGAAGATCCATATGGAACTCACCATGATCCAGATGATATTGTCAAAAAACACTACACCGAGGAAGATATTCAGAGAGAAAACATGGACGATGCGGCTATGGAGCTTATGCGACAACAAGATAGGCGACGTGCCCAAGCCGGTACATTCGGAGAAACAGAGCGATCCGTTGCCGAAATGGCAGAAGAAATTGAAAATCGCCATCGGATGCAGAACAGAAGAGTTCCGAGAGCTGAGTTTTTGGAACAGGGGACCAACGACGACGCTGGCGTTCCACAGTTTTCGCCAGCGGTGGCACAGCAGAGTTTGGTGCCATCCGTGTCAGACCCTAGCCTTTGGATGGTGTCGTGTGCCACTGGAAAAGAAATGGAGCTGGTCTTTCAAATCATGAACAAATGTGCTGCTTTTGCCCGTCAGGGGAGACCCCTCGGTATCAGTGCCGCTGTGGCGGCACAGAGTAAGGGACGAATCTACATTGAAAGTTTCAGCGAACCGGCTGTTTTGGAGGCCATCCAAGGAATCAGAGGACTCATGCAATACTCAATGAGATTGGTGCCCATCGGAGACATGACAACAGTCATGGCAGTTGTTTCCAAAAAGAAAATGGGTATGTTTTGGATCGTGAAAGTGTCATGTTGATGTAAAGTGGACGGAAATCTTACATGCTCTTGTTTACCAGTCAAAAAGAACGATTGGGTGCGAATGTGCCGTGGTCATTACAAGGGTGATCTGGCATTGGTCCGGGCAGTCAGAGAATCTGGACTCAAGGCCATTGTTCAGTGTGTCCCTAGATTGGACTTGTCCGTGGCCGACATGTCCCCAGAAGAAGCTCGTCGTCGACGAAGGACACACAAACCGCCACAAAAGTTCTTCAATGCACAAGAAGTACAGGCACTCGGAAAGCATACGCTCAAGCGACAACGATTCCCTGGTCTAGATACCAGCTGTGACTACTTTGAGGGTAACTATTACGACGGTGGATATCTGGTCAAGGAGGTGACGGTGGGACAGATGGTTAAACCGTGCACAGACGAAGACCCTCCTAGCTTGGATGAACTGCAAAGCTTCAGGCGAAGAGACAAAATGAAATCAATTGACGATGACAAAGACGAAAACGAAGGATCCAAAATGGCGGCGTCGTTGTTGGATGAATTGTCAGATCTGCAAGGAAAGACCAGCCTAGGTTCAGGTGGAGCAAAAGGTGCAGGTCTCATGATTGGAGACACTGTCGAAGTAGTTGAAGGTGATTTGGTTGGCATGCGTGGTAAACTTGTCAGTCTGGATGAAGCTGGTTCCACAGTGAAAGTGAAACCAAACAATGCTGCCGATCTCGATTTGACACAGGAGGTCGAGTTTCTTGCAAATCAGGTTAGGAAGTACATTCCTGTAGGTGCCCATGTCAAGGTCACTGATGGTCGATACTCAAACGAAACTGGCGTTGTGGTGGCCATAGAACAACTCGACAGCGAAACAGACTTTACAGCTGTCGTACTGACTGATGTCACAAACAAAGAAATTTCTGGTATGTACAATGACAGGGGCAAGGGAGTTTTGTTTAGGTTGTTATTTCTCACCCAGTTGATGCCGCCGCAGTGAGAACGTCTCAGTTACGTGAATCAGCAGAGGTTGCTTCAGGGCAAGACAAGCTTCAGGGTTACGAGCTTTACGATCTTGTTGTCCTGAGTGGTGGCGGTTCTGCGAATGAGGTTGGGGTAATCGTTCGAGTTGGACGTGAGGATTTCACCGTGATCAACAATCATGGTATCCCACGAGAGGTTCGGCCAGAGGAATTGCGCGGGAAGCGCAACTCCACTTCCATGCGTGCTGTGGCACTGGATGTCCAAGGAAACCAGCTTCGTGTTGGTGACACAGTGAATGTCGCGGAAGGACCTCACAAGGGCAAGTCAGCAACAATCAAACGAATGAGCAGGTCCCAGCTCTTTATTTATTCGCAAACTCGTACGGAGCACGCTGGTATTTTTGTTGTGCGCAGTCGCAGCTGCGTGCTTGCAGGGTCGAGGACGCAGAACCGTGGTGGCCCAGGTGATGGTGGAATGAGCCCCTTTGCAACCCCGCAGTCGCAGAATCGAGGTGGCCCTGCCAGCCGCGGAAAAGGTGACGATGGGTTGATTGGAAAGACTGTTCGTATCCAGGCAGGCCAATGGAAAGGATACTTGGGAACAGTCTGTGACGCCACAGCAACACATGTTCAAGTTGAGTTGCACTCACGCTTGAAAAAGGTAATGGTTTTGCGAGAGCGTGTTGCTGTGGCCGGAGATAAATTCGGAGCCACAGAGGATCAAAACCGCGACATTCCCTCGGTTGCCAATATCATGGCTCCAACAACTCCCTTTGTTGCTGGTGGCGCTACTCCCATGCACGGAGGAGCCACCCCACTGCATGGTGGTGCAACACCTGCCCATGATGGAGGGTATGTATCCTCTTTGGTTCAGAAAGTGCTGTGCATTCCAATCTGGCGTCTAAATTCTTTCTTTGTGATTGTTCAGCGGGGACGATGTATGGAGACCAGGGGGCGTCGTTGACCGCGACAATGAAGAAGAGAACGGCACATCGAATGATGATGGGTGGGGAACTTCGAACAACGATGACAACGACGGTACGTTCTTTTTCAGTCTTTCTGCTTGCACCTCTAGAGGTACTCTCATCAACCCGGTTTGTTATGACAGATGGATGGGGGTCGAATGCCAATACCAACTCTGGCTGGGGTTCGACGAATGATAAGCAAGACGACAATGAACAATCCAAGCCGGCGAGTGCGTCTGTTGCCATTAAGCGCGATGAGACCAGTGAAATGGAGGATGGCGATGCCAATGAAACACCAGTCTGGTTCATGGAGCGTGTTTGTGTACAGCTGAAGAACGGTGATTCGGCCGCAGTCATCAAAGAGGTGTCATCAGACAATACGGCAATGGTTGTGTTGGCGGATAAGTCAACGAAGACAATTCGGGTTGGAGAAGTATCAATGATCCCACCGAAGGAGCATGACATGGTTCTTGTCACAGGTGGAGCTGACGTTGGTGTGGAAGGTGAATTGGTTTGTATTGATGGTACCGATGCGATTCTGAAGGACTCCAATGAAGACTTCAAGATTGTTGACTTTGTGTGCCTTGCAAAGATTGATGCCGACAACTAACTGTGTTGCAAGCACACCAATGTATAAGGCTGATTCGTAAATCGTTATCATCTGCTGAAGGCGTGGATATCTTTTTGTTCTTGATCTTGTTCCTAGCTAGCTAGTACCTCACTCTGCGTTGGTCAGAAGAGCACAGTGAAAGCACTGGCCCCTCACAGCGTACTAGCTATATCCGGTTCACACAACCAAAAAGACACCAGCAGTACTACGGTAGTAGCCAACTACTATAGCAGCGAGAGGGTCTTTTTGCTCCGGATGGGTCTCCTTGCAAGGCCAAAATTGAACTTTGTCGAGAATGCTACGTACGCGGTTTTGTGGTCAGCAATAGGCTTTATCAAGTTCCGTCACCTTTTCTATCGATTGCACTGGGAATGCGACTTGCGATCCACAGGCGCCGACATTGTGTGGCGTGCGATCGATAGACTGCGACTGCATCACGATATCGATTACTGCCTCGCACCGTCCTCCTTCCATCCTGGAGCCGCGGTACGGGCATTCCGTCTTCATTCATTTATTGAGGGTGCTACAAGTACTAGCTAAGAACGGGGAGATTGGCTTTGAAGCAAAAGTACATCCAAATGCGGTCTCGTGATTCTTCTAGAGCTAGTACTGTAGGGTATACACATTCGGCTGCTTGGGCCAAACACTCTTTGTCAAAGGCGCAATAATCCGGCTTGCATCTTGCGAGCACAAGACAGGACCGTATTCGCGAGAGCAGCGGTTGTCTCCTGGAGGCAGGGCTGCAATTCTCTAAATTGGCTGCTTGTGCCAGGCAGGGTTGTTGTACAGGCGCCACCAACCCGATGCGGACAAGCAACTGGATACAGGATATTATTTGGAGCAGCGGTTGCTGCCGGGTTCCGGGCAAATCGGTTCAGTTGATAATAATCAATGTTGTTTCCAGCAGCAATACGGTAGCTAGACCCCTCATTGTCATACGGTAGGGGTTACTGTAGCTAGATCCGCACTCAACAGGGTCATAAACGGCTCGGCGGATTGTGTTGGAGGGAACTTCTTGGCAAGTTTGAAGGTTGCGCAGGGAGCCAGGAATCTTCCTGGCTGGCAGTGAGGGAAAAGAGGAAGAAGGCGGTTGAAAGCTTTGTGTTTCCTGTGGTTGTCCTGTGTTCAGCTTAGTTTCCAAGTTTTAAAGTTTGGAGGCAAAGCCAGTTTCTTCAAGGTGAAGCTTGATTTCAACTTCAACCATGATTCATTCGATTCATTTGTACTGGTACTACTAGCTAGTCCAGTATGCATTATGCATACATGTATGTATGTATGTACTCCTTTTTAGTCGCGGTATGACTGAACCCAGCATTTTCGGCAAGCATCCTTGTCCATTGCACCAGCTATTCCACCCTCGTCCCCATCGTCGTCATGGAACTTGGAAAGATCTCACAAAACAGACAAACACAAAACCAAAACAAACTAACCAAACTACATACGCACCAAACACAAGAAATCACCATGAAGACCATCTCTTTCATTGCTCTCTTTGCCTCCCTCTTTGTTGTTGCTAGCGCACAAGTCGCGCCATCAGGAGGACTGCGTGGCACCTCAGGTGCTTCTTCCGCCCTGGAGGAGCCCCAAATCACTTCCTCCATTCAAGCTACAAGCATTGCTGCTACTCCACGACAAGTACAAGAACAAGATCGATCCATCCTCGTCACTATCCAATTTGACAGCAAGTTCCAAGTGGATTCACACAGATTTGAATTCACGGAACATCAAGTGAATGGTTGGAGGAAGATGCAAATGTGGGGATCAGTTCCCCGATCTGGATTTGTGGCTCGCACCAGGGATGACCTGAAGGAAGGGTATCGCTATGATTTCGCCATGACTCCAGAGGTTCCAGAATCTACCAGGAATGAAGAAGGCACTGTCAAGGTGGAAATCTTGGATATCAGTCATGTCCAGGGGAATGTGCAAGCCATTGATACATTGATTGAACAAGGAGTGCTTGTGTACTCATTTGAAGAAGACCTGGCTCACTTGCTACAAACGGAAAATGACATTTTCTTCAGCTTTTCCTTGTAAGGCTTTGCATTGCAGTATTGATAGAATTTATGGACCACAAAGAATAGAAATAAATGCAAGAATGTAACCAAGAAAAGTAGACGTTTCTACCATTACATTTCCATTGTTGCACGTTAGTCCACCTTAGTCTATTGTTGCAGCACATTTTTGATTCTTTTACATTTGAATACAGCGACCTCCCCATCGACTCCTTTGAGCTTTCGATAGCCCACAAAGTGAACACTGATTTTAGGATCATTCACCTTAAACGCAGAGGGATCGTACCCAGGAGTAATCGTTTCGCCAACACAGACAGTCCCAACCGCTGAAGAATAAGCCACACGGGCGGCACGGTTCACAACCTTCCCAAAGTAATCTGCCCGTCCAGTAGTCTTGTGTGGCTCCAGTGTGATGAAGGAGTCATGGACACATCCATACGACACCAGTGTAGAAAGATTTACCCCTCCCGGCAGTGGTTGTTGCCTCTTGAGAAGCTGAAAGAACCCCAGCCCAAAGTTGATTGCTGCCCGGCTATCCGAAAACGCCAACATGTTGTTTTGACATTGATAACCAGATGTCCCGGTGAGAGCCGACGAGGCCAGCCCTATGATTCGGGAGACAATGGCTGCCGCCTCCTTGTATCGCTTTTCAATTTCGCTGGTTGATATAAATGCAATCGTAACCTTGGCTTTGCCACTGGCATTGACTCCTGGGGCATCGTAGAATGAAGGGGAGAGCTTCTTTTCACTCTTGATGTCTGGAAATTGTCGCCCCCACAAGCTGGAAGACCTTAGGCCTCTTCCCAAGTCCATGCTGGCATCCATGCTAAGGTCAGCACTCATCCCATCCAGGTCAAAGCTTGTGTAACTCTCCCCCAATTTGGCCATTTCACTAAAATCACTTGCCAGCGGTGCTGGAACGAGCTGGACAATTCGTTCGGAAATGACCCCATCGTGGGAGCTCTTGCCCTTCTTGATCACATGTGAGCCCAGGTCCACCACCTGGGGAGAGAACAGCTTTGTTTCTGCCAAAAACGAGGCCACATTCCACGTATCAAAGATGGTTAGAATCTGTCCTCCTGCAGCCATTTCGTAGAGATTCTTGGCAATCCCAATGGTGCAGCTCTTGACGCTTTGATATTCCATTGCTCCTGTTTTGCGATTTATAATGGCCGTGACATCCCCCATGTACGCTCCCACTTTGACTCGTAGACCCCGAAAGCCGCTGCCATTGTCACCGACCCGAGGTAGGGCCAATAGTTCGGGGGACCAATTGGCATCAAATAGCTGTTGCTGCAAATCCAAAGCGAATCCAAAGGCGTCGACTGCATCATGAAACACCAAAAACAATCCATCGGGTCCCCGTCTGGAAACCTCATAACCAAAGTATTCTTCCCGCAATTGTTGAGCAATCTGATGATACAGCGCCACACCATCTTGGATCAACGCTGGTGCAATGCCCTCCAGAGTTTCACATTCCTCGACCCCTGTAAAAACGGCCACAGCCTTGTCTTGCGGTGGTTTGGATTTGTTTTTTGTCGTTTGTAGTGATAATCGAGTCGTTTCCAGTCGATTAATGTTGCGTCTCAATTTCCAATTCTCAATACTCTGTACCACCATGTTGGCCACTTGCTCTAATTGCACTGCAAAGCCTTCCTCATTCAAATCCTCGCGGGGTTCTAGAGAATGCATGCAGAGGGTGCCAAACACAACACCGGAAGCTGTCAAGAGTGGTGCTCCCAGGTAACACCGAAAGGGCCACACCACCCGCATCCACTGAAAGGCAATATCCTGTTCAATATCCGGCACGAGAAAGCTCTGTCCCGAGTAGGTTGGAAAATTGCAAATACCAATGGACCGTGATGTCTTGCAGAGGAAGGGTTTTCCATCTTGTGAATAATTAATGGCATCATAGACCTTATCGATAATGGCCTCTTCCATGGGTTCGGTCAATCCAACTCGGGCGAGACTGTATTGACATTCATGATTGAGAAATGTAATATCTCCCAGATCGACATCAAATAGATTCATGGCCATTTGTACCAACCCCACTAATTTTTGGGCAATATCCGAATCAGGTTCAATATCTTGCAATCGGTAACTTTCTACCAACGCCACGCGATCCATGTCGTCCTTGGCAATGGGTGGCCGTGTGGCTTCGGGGACAGTGTCCAGTTTTTGGAAGAAATTGGGTGCCAAATGAGCCTGTTCGGCCTCTGTGGTAGCTCGATTGGGATGATCCACGTGATAGGAGGGGTGTTGTGTGGAATCTCGTCGTTGTGCTGTTGTCGTTGCTGCCTCCAGGAGAGGAGATGGCACCTCCTGTGGAATATGACGACCGACAGTGACTTCCTGGATAATATGTTGCTGTTGTTGCTGCTGCTGTTGTACTTCAATGGTATAGCCTCGAGCGCACTTGTGAAATTCCTGCAGCAACTTGGCACGATGTGTGCGATTGTCCAGGCCAATGTCATCCAGAGTTTCCAAAAAGATCGCTTCGTCCATTTCTCCCAACAGGTCTCCATCGATCCCATTGTCATCCACTAACAGTGCGTAGTCTTGATACTCTGCTCCCAAGGATATCACACGCCTTGCGACATCCTCTTTTCTGATCTCGGCCAGTGGCTCGGAATGAATACCTCCCATCTCTAAAATATGGAAAAACCAAAAGACCGGCTGGTGTATCACAAAAAGGTGTTGTGCTGAAGCTGATCAACACAAAGCGAAACTGGCTGTTGTCAAGATTTGCTCTTGACACAGGACAGCATTGCACAGGAAGGTGCCATGTCACACGGTTACTACAGTACAGTAGCAGCTTCCATTATTGCTGGGTTCATTGTAACCCTGCTGATGCCATTGGCCATTGGAGGCAAACGCAACCGTGAGCCTTGAGGCCTTTTGTAAGTAAGAATGTACAGTGTACCGTACCGTTCCGCACCGTACCGTACCAGCTCCGTGTACCGGTACCGTACGGCTGAGATTTCTTATGCATATTTCGTTGTTAAATCTATTCACCTTCAAAGCATTAATGCTTCGGACATTATAATCAGATTAAATCTTCAGCCTCTGGATTTTCGCGCCTCTTACTGGTGCTTCTTTCCCTCCAAAAGACGAAGATACAGTACCTGATTTATTTATGTTATTGGTATAGCACAGCATTCATCCATCAACCAAGATGACAGTCCTCTCCAAGCCAATCGAAATTGGCATTGCCACTGACGACGACGACGATGAAGAAGTCATGATTGTATCATCTCCTCGCAAATCGAAACGACTGGAACACCAAAGCAAACAGCCAAAGTACAAAACTGGCACGGCCATTCAGAAATTGTTTCCCCAAGGATGGTTTGAAGGATATGTGGAATCATTTTGGATTGATGACGAGTATGAAGATGATGTTCGACTGTACCGGATTGAGTACGAAGATGGCGACGCCGAAGATATCGAAGAAGGAGATATGCCGCCGTTGGTACAATTTGCCGAAAAAGACATGAAGCGGCAAACCTTACGGCAGCTCCAACGAAAGACGACGGTCAAGCGAGCCGCACGAAAGCCAACGACAACGACAACGACAACGACAACGACGACGCATCGTCCTGCCAAAAAGGCTCGTGGGGGAACCGCCAAAGGTCTTCAGACGCTCAACCCCGACTCTGGTTTGTGGACGGGTATCTTTGGACAAGACAAGGGAGCTCTACTCCAAGAATCGCTCGTGGAAAAGATCCACGCCAATCCTCCACCACCCAAAACTCTCCCCCAACCGTTGCATGCCTGTATTCCTCTCATGGTAGAATTCTGGTTGCTCTTGTGGGAACGACAAATGATCTTTTTGGAGGGCAAACAGACGAATGTGCGTGTCATGCAGAAACATCATTTCTGTAACAATCATCGCGAAATCGACCGTGGAACGGCCTATTTGCGGTCGCAAATCATGACACTCAAACAAGAGCTACAACAGCAGGAAAAGCCACTTACTAGAGCCATTTGGCTCGAACAAGTCTTGGGAATGGCCTACATTTATCGGCTCGTCAACAAACAAGAATCCTTTGAAAGCGACCGCAATCCCACTGGTGGCATTCCTCGATTGGGTGAATGGACAAAAGAACACGAAGACTATTGCCGGGAAATTCAAGCCGAACGACGACGGGACAATTCCCTCCCTAGTTTCATGACCCGAGCCCATCAGGCCATTTCCTACGACGAGTACATTCAGCTTGGACAAAAATGTGCCAAGACGATTCCTCCCATTGCCAAGCAAGTCCATGCAGCGGGCTCCAATCTGCGCAAAATCTGCAATGTTCTCCAAAAGCTCGGTGGTGTGTCCAGCTTTCGCGGCTGGCAATTGGCGTGCGATTTGGAAGAAGCCCGGTGTTTGGGACCCGACGTGCCCGACGATTTCACCTTGTTGGGGCCCGGTGCCCGCAATGGTCTCCGGGATGTCTTTGGGGACGACGTTTACAATAGTCACAATCTCTTGGACTTGTGTCGGCACTTGCAGAGTAGCATGACGTATTGTCTCCAGTTGGTCGATTTGGAGTTTCCGCATTGGGGCGGCCGTCCCGTCACGTTAAAGGTGATTGAACATGCCCTCTGCGAATTCAACAAGTTTCAACGGTCCGATGCCGGTGGTTTTGATAGTTTTCGGCATCGACACAGTCGCGCGTCGATGGATGACAAGCCCTGTGGGGAATGTCAGGAGGAGACAACGGCAGAGAATCGCGCGAGGTGTGATACTTGCTTTTTGATTGTATGCCAACAGTGCCAAAAGGATCAATTCCATTCGATTCGGTCGGCCGAAGAGGACAGACATGGTCGAAACTGTTGCCTTGCGTGCCATGAGATTGATGAATTGACGTTTGATGATTAAACAATCGATGTTTCCCAAGAAGCTAACTGTTAGCTAAGTATATATATATATATATAATGAAGTAGTATGTTTTGCCTCCATGTCGTTCTTCGACGACGATCTGTAGCTTGCGCCACCACTACCGGTATCGGTTTTTGTAGACGCTGAGGTCGAGTTGATGATTTCCCAACTCAATTAAAGTAACCCATGAGATGTAATCTGGCAGAACTAAGCTTCCACATACTCTTCCTTGTGGTGGCATGATGAGCCGTGCTTCTGGTGGCATGATATGCACATCTCATCTGCAGATTCTTCGCTCGTATCTGCGCCAACTGATAGGAGCCCCTCCTCTGCCTTGTGCAGTTTTGCATCATTTTGGCAAATGCCAGGTGATATGTCAATGCCACTACGGCGCATCAAGAGATTCTTCAGCGACCCTACAGGATGGACAACATGTTGATGGTGGCTCTCAGGGCACCCCATTGCGGATAGGTTTTCCATGGCCAAGGATTCCCTCGGCAACGTGTTATGATCTGTTTCAGAGTCATCGCACAACAAGGACCCCCGCCGTGGTGGCAATCTGGGAGCTCCTTGGTTTTTACACCTCGTCGGCTCTTCGGCTTCACTGGTAGCAGGAGATCTGCCGCCAAAGGTTGCGCTGATTCTAGTAAGCAACCCCGCCATTGTTTCGGGTTTGCATGCTGACATGTCTTCTACGTCGTTGCCTGCTGCTGATTGTTCATTATCATTTGGGTCTGTTGATGGTTCTTCGGCAAAGCTGCAGTCAAGGCTCTCCACGGACGACATCAACCGTGGAGGCATTTTCGGTGGCCCTTGTACGGGATGAGGCTTCATCCTGCCAACGCAGGCTGGATCCGCATCACCAATTTCAATACTGACTTCAGAGTCATCGCCATCAGAATCATCACTCCCACGTCCTCTTTGGGGTGGCCTCTTTGGGGCTCCTTGGATTGGCTGCGACGAAAATCGCCGACTGCCAGATTCTTCGTCTACCTTGAGTTGAGACTCTTCGTCGTCTTCTTCTTCACTGTCACTTTCACTCACCAAGGACAATGCCGCCAAGCTACCTTCTTCTCCCGCTTCAGAATAGTAAGCCATTCCCCAGGAGACTGTCTTGGTTACTTTGTTCCCGGCACCTTTCATGCTGTACGACTCTGCGGACCCCAAAGAGAGTGATGATATGAGAGAGCATCTTTTATGCGGTTGTGTTTTCTGTTTTTGCTTTTGCGGGGAAGCGTTGGGGCCAGAGTTGGAGGGGGAAGGGGGAGCCTCTGACTTTTGGTAAGTAGACGCAGCATTGCCCGCAACCGAGAACTTTCTGTTACTGCCACCCTGAGACTGGAAGAGAGATACTGCCCTTCCAATTTCGGCTCGTACATTGTCATCACTATCTTTCTCCGCTGGACGCATGTGTGTGTTGTACATGAGGTTCCCAAAGATCAAGGTCACCACGACGAGGTCGTTTAACCAAATGACGCAACTTCGGATGAAGAACGCACTCTGAGGGTCCGCACCAAGTACCAAGAGGACGGGGACTGCCACTATGACGACTTGGAGATTGCTGAACATGGCAATCGACAAAATCTTGCCTTCCGAAAACTTGGTGGGGATATTCCTTGAGATGTATGTCAGCCAACAAGCAACACCCAGCAACAATAGATGAAGTGTTCCGATGATGGAGGCAAAGATCATCCATGAATCACTTGTGCAAAAGCCATGTGACTCCAGCGGTGAGTTGAAGTTGTCGACTCGAATGACTGAAGTGCAGAGGGGGAAAGCGACTTGTGTGTGAGGGGGATGCTGCTATCATCATGATGCCGTGGTGATTGGCACGACACGAAATCTCCACTCCAGCCAGGGCTCACTTACCTGTCCGTTTCCATGCGAGCGGATCAATCAAAGTCCACGCCACCAGAATGGCGACATCCACAATGAGGACGGCCCCAATGACAGAGAGAGTCTCTTTGAACGTTACTGGATTCCTTCTATTGTAGCTGCTACTGGCTCCCGCCGATTTTCGATGCGCGGCCTGGGAGAAGATCAGCCACACCCTCAAGATCTTGGCAAAAAGCGAGCCAAATGTGACGCTGAACCCAACCGAGTACAACCAAGGAATCATCATGCAGGCAGGTACTGCAGTGTCATCTGTAGGTGAATCTTCCTGGGCCAGTGGGATGATGGTAGAGCTCGAAATCAGACAACCGAGGAGGACAAGGAGGAGGAAGAATGGTTGACTGTAGGTGACCTGTGTGGTGTTTCGATAGCAGTAGAGCCAAATGGCGCAGCCTACAATGACAGCCACATTGGCCCCGAGCATGCAATAGGCCCCGATTTTCAAGGAGGGTGGAATCTTGTTGGTGTTTTCGGGAATCTCAATGGAGCAATCATCGCCCGTCCATCGGGGCGACTCGCACACACAGACACCTCTGGCATCGGCTGTCCCGTGCTCTGGGTCACAGGGCAATTCGCAGTTCTCCCCGGCCGTTCCAACGGGACAGAGCTCCTTTTGAAAGTAGGTATAGTAGAGCTTGTCCAGAGTGGCATTGGCCACGGCGGCATAGACCCACTTCTTAAAGAGTTTGGAGACGATAGGGGACAAGTCGTTGGACATGGGCCAAACCAGGAACTGACTATTGAAGGACTCTCTGGTAACTTCTAGGGATGGATCCAAGGCGGCACGATATCGCAGGAGCAACTCATCGTCGGCGTACAAGCAGCACTCTTCTGCTTTGAGTGCTTCTAAACAGGCTTCTGGAGAAGGGCACTTGATGTACTCTGCACCAGGGTGCTTTGCCATGACGACTTTCATCAAGTAGGTACCGTCTGGCACACAAACGGTTGCCTTTGCCTGTTCTGCCTGAGTGAGTGTGGTCAAGTCCTGACTCAGATCTATCTTGTCTGTGAACTTGAGCGTAGACATGGTTGTCCGTAACCAAGAGGGAGTAAAGTCGACTCGCATCGACCGCTCTGCGTTGCAGTAGTAGTCCCCCACAATCAGGCTACGCGTAAAGATAGATCACAGAGGTGGCGTAAGGTTAGGTTAGGTCAGGTCAGGTCAATCAAAGGCTAGCATCCTAAGTAACGACCGCCACGACTGTATGCAAGCTACCGTATGTACTTACTCAAACTTGCTGCACTCTTCCGTGTTGTCGTCGTCGTTCACTTCCAAGCAGTCGTTGGCTACCAAGTCCAAGGCAGCTCCGTATTGAGGAGGCGATGGACTCAGGTCCAATTCCAGTGTGACGTTGTCTTGGGCCGCAAAGACCTTGAGACTCTCCAACATGTCTGGCTGAAAGCCTCGGTACGTGTACGTGCCATCTTCTGCCTTGTCGACAGATGCAAATGGAGGTGCATGCAGTACTCCCGCACGAAGCGAGATGTGCGAGGGGAACTCTTCAACGGCCTGTACTGCCGATGAAGACAGCAACGCTGCTGCCGTCCACCAAAAGACTTGAACTGCAGATGATGATGGAACCATGGTGTGAGTGAGTGTGTGTGTGGCCAAGGATGTACTGTGTCGGCAATCCTGAAGTGTGTGTTTTCAAAGGTGAAGCCGTTGGCAATGCGGAGCTGAGATCGCGGTAGCTGTACAGGTTGGTTCAGGGCAAACAACTAACAACGACGAGAAACCTTGCGGCTTGCGGAATGCAGGGATGCTGGGTCCTCATTCCTCACAACCTCAAACGAGGCAAGACACTGAGACGCTACTGTACGAACGCGGGAGTCTACAGTGGCTAAATTGGCCAAACCCGCATTATTGATGAAAGCCCCTTGCTGACGAACCTGTTGACCAACGACGTGAGCACTTACACACTATTGAAGTTGTACCGTTGTATCGTACTGTCCGGGAATTGCTGGGTTATCTAGGGGTGTTAAGGGTGAAGCTGAGGGCTTATTTGTCAGGTGTTCTTTTCTCTTGTTGGGGCGGTGCCACTGACTTTGAGACATCTCAAGAAGCTCCTGAGTCGTAAGTGAACACTTGAGAAGGCAATGATTTGGCTACCGAAGAAACCAAGGTGGTCGTACTATCTATTTGATGTACAAAAGTGTTTCTAAAATTCACCATCTTCGGTCCCATTCCATAAATCTGAAACAAAGAAATTTTAATTAGGCTCCGGCACAATAATTCCTGAGGACTCCCCGAGTTATCAGTGTGGTGCAGAGAATCTTGGATACCCATGTGGACAGACACTCCAAACCTTTATTTAAGAAAGTTGAGCTTTTCTAAGGATTGAGAAACTATTAATTTAAAATATCCACCAGAAAGCAAGAAAACCCATGGATGCATTGAAACTAGAGCATTCTTATAAGTGAGTTTTTAAAAAGTGAATTTTCACACGAGGGCTTACTTGGTACAGCCGGACATACCCGTACGTACCGGTATCAGGAGGACGAATTATTTGTATTATTTAAACTTTGTACTCGAGTACTCGTGATTCTCTAGGCTAGGACTCCCCAAGTCACCACTTGGGGCTTGGGGCCTGGTAGTTACATAAGACAGGCATAGGTTTGTGACTTACTTGTGACATCTACAAATAAATCTACTGTAAATCTACAGTCCGTAAATCAAAACAAGCTGCATGCAGGGTGCGTGGAACGGCTGGATGCTTCGATGTGATGATGGAGCACTCCCCTGTTTCAGCTCGACCGAACCATTTGGTTTTCTAATAAACTAAAACTTTTCTTATTTTGCCAAGCTATTTGCCATCATCATCTGTTTGACCACCCAAACCAGCAAAGCAAGTGCTGGAAAGCTGGAAAGGACAAGCACAAAACGATTCTCTGATGCTCTCTGCTATGTTGCTCCGGTGGCACTCTCTGCTAAAGCTTTAAAATAGAGCTCATCACTACAATGTCATGTACTTCGAGCTCATCACTACCAGGTACTCCACTTCGGTGTGGTAGTGACCTATGCAGCCTACTACTAGCTAGCTGCGTCTGTGCGTAGCCAGTAATATCCAGCTGGTGATCTTCGATATGCTCTAGTAGCTAGTATTTTACACTAAACAAACAAAAAATCTGGTACAGTAACAGTTCTCTGGTGGTGGTACCAGCTGGTACCTGAAGGCTTGCAGCGCAAGGAAGACAAGGCTTAAGAATATTGATCCGAGCTACCAGTACAGCTGTAGATCTTTCTTCTTTCGTCCACTGAGCTATGGGTAACTTTAATATTAGTCTAATACTACTGGCAGGATATTTCGCCGAGCACAGAACAGACAGAACAAGGAAGGTTCTTGAAGCGATTCAACAACCTTCCCACTGTCAACTGCCAACTGCCACTGGCAGTTGACAACTAACTACCAACTGGGTCCTCTGGCTAGTTTGCTTCTTCAACGAAGAAAGATCGAAAGATCTCCTCTCGTGGAGGGGATACATGATTGCAAGAACATGCCATGACACATTCTTCCTTCCACAAGCAACCGTGGGAACAACATCCATATTTTGATGCATCACTTACTTTTAGTGCCCATGGATTTCAACAACAACAACTTTTTTGATCAACGTGTACCGAATCTGGCGTAGCGGAGCAAACCACTCGCTGCCAACGCTCTTTTGCAGCCACTTTGAGTTTTGCTCCCCACCTCTGCCACATTGGCGGTTGTGGACTTATACCAGGAAAATGCCTGTCCTTGTTCAACAATGCCGCTACCGGTACGGTGGAAACCATTCCGCAAAAGATGTGACAGCGACATACCTCTTGATCGCGAAATTGTTCTCCTGTTCTCCAGTCAAGACGAGAATCTGTGACTGGGATGGCGTTGAGACACGCAAGTTCATTGAGCTCGTCTTTTGGTTGCTGTGAACTTCTTGAACATCGTATCCATCAGTGAAAAACTTTGGTTACCATGAAACCATACCCGTGCCGTACGGTACCGTAAAAGTATGGTAGTACCTTACGACCGCACCGTAATAAAGGCAATATTCTTTTGTACAACTAGTAATGTGTAATGGACGGTACCGGTACACTTCAAATGACGCAACACAGCTTTCCAAGTCGAACAAAACACTTTCCGAAACAAACATCAAGAATCCCTCAAAGATGATCATGTTGTGCCATTGCCGGTTACTTACTTGACAGCCCGGTCAACGCAATGATTTGGGTCTTGGCACCTGAGGATTTCTTCTCAAGAGCGAAGCTTGAGAAGCGCAAACGGAGGAGATTATCAAAGTATGCTGGACGAGATGATTTTGCAAGCCTGGAGCCATGAGACGGCTACACATCGACTGGACGCAAATGTCCGAACAAACGAGATTTTTCAACAAGCCCCAGGCAATGAATACACTACCCCGCTTGTACATACATTCCAAGGTTGGAGAATCTCGAGAATCGTTCATTCATAGAGCAAGTTGTTCTTTTCGAGGAGCATCATGTAGCGAACAATGATACCCATTCCAATAATAGACGAGCCAATCGCAACCCAGATGATGGAGTTGACGACAAGCCGCATCGTCACGAAATCCTGTTGGGAGCCCCCGGATGCAAGTCCCTTCTTGGTCGCTGCATCCAAACGGAACCGTCTGTACAAGGCAAACGCCCCAATTGAAGTTGTATGTCTTTTGAAAGATAGGAATCAAGGCAATGGCGAGACTAATGGGCCAGATCAAAATGGGAACCTTTTCATATCGTTCCAGTTTGGAGGGTGGCCACGAAAACCTGACCAAGAGCACATAGAAAATGGAAACCACAATGTCATACAAGGCAACAGCAATGGAACCAAAGTACAAAGCCATTCCTTGGAGCGTACAGGTGGCTTGTGTTCCCAAGGTCCCAGGATAATCAATGGTACCTCTGGGGGTCATGGTCATGCCGGTAATATATCCAAAGTCCCACGCAACGTTCGCAAATTGCATGAAAAAGAGGAGACGCGTAATGGAAGATGCTTGCCCAACCTTAAGCAGAGACCGTGTTTCCATCGTTTGTTCTGAGTGGCAAACATCAGGCATGTCCATACACCTGATAACTGGATAAGTCCGGCGACGTTCGTACTAGCTATTAATTAAATCAGTGCTGCAGGGAGCTTTCATGCATCACTCTCCCAATCCTCTGCATTCCCCATGCCACCAATTGAGCCAGTTTCAAACCGCAGCTCGTGGCACCCACCAATATATCCGTGAATCGACCAACTTTCTGCTACCCGAGGAGGAATTCTCACGAATCCACATCATAATGGCTTCGGTCGACTTGTTGTGTTTGCGTTCTTTCTTCGAGAGACAGTTCGAAAAGTCACAGGGTTTGACGTCGGGATGAGAGCCCGCCCAAAACTCGTTTGCTGCCATTCGACCAATATCAGGTTGGTACGTGTGCTGTTCAAAAGATCGATGATTGCTGGCAAAGTCTCTTACTGGCAACAACTCGGCAATGTAATCGCAAGAGGTCGTCCAAAAGTTCCCGACCATCCCCGAGAATCCATGTTCCGCCACAAAGAACATGCCACAAAGATTGCAATCTGACGCACCGTACAAGTCGGGATGCAAGCAGTGATCACTGGTGACTGCGTCCGTCATGGTGTGTCTCCATTTTTCATGGAACAAAGAATCGTGATCATCGTGGCCTTTGTTGGACATGTAAACAACACGACGACGCTTAGTCTCACTCCACTGCTCCTTCATTCGCGCCATGATCCGAGCTGCATTCGTAGTAGGACCGCCCTTTTTGCTGAAGCTCGTCTTGCCACTGTTGACTGCCCTACAATAGTCGTGGACACGTTGTAGCGTAACGTCCTGTGTGACGGAATGACGTTCCATGTGGTGGCAGACAAGGCTTCGTTCGTGGCACCATTGAATGATGAGGTCGGCATTCAAGTAGTCCGTTACGCTTCCGATTGTTGTAAAGTAGATGCTCAAGGTTTGCTGGTGTTTGATTTGTTGTCGCGTACTGGCTCTTTGGATTTGATCCAACTGCTTCAACACGATGCGTTTCGAATGGGCACCGTCGTCGTCCTCGTTGGATGGCATGTCAATGTGGTAGAAGATTGGAGTAGAAGATTCTCGAGGCATTTCAAACGGAAAGAGCCCAGATGGATCGACATCCAACTTTGTCGGTTCCTGGTTATCAAATACTGCTTTCGTGTCTTCTACGTTGTCTTGGGTGCTGGTCCTTTGAATGTTCTCAATTTGATTCCAATTTTTGTCCGTGTAATGCTCTGATGGAAGAGGTTGTGACTCGTCCATGTCCATGTCCACAGGGAGGGACACGCTTCCAACAAGATACCACGCTTGATAAGTGACGTTGACCAATGCCGAGAACATGACAATCTTCCATTGAAGCAAACCATTGCTTCGTCTTTTTCTACCACCATTCGCTGTGGCGTTTTCCTGTGTTGCAGGGGCCATGTTTGGCAAAAGCTGGAGGGAGATGAGAGGATACCCCAATCTCGTCAGATTGTGGCAATTCACTCTTCTTCATTATACAGCCGTGGAGTGCCGCACTCAGAGAATGTCACGATTTGTACCGTAGCATTGGTGCGTGCATTGTTGGCCCGTTGGCTTTCTCTTTGTCTTCAGAAGCGCCGAACGGCTCTATTGGATCCAAAGAAAATGGAATCATGATTGGCACTTGTACTGCACCGTACTAATCATAGTAGTCTATCAGATTTCTGAGCCAGGCTATTTAAATCTGACACATTGTCAACAAGAGAGCAACGCAATACTCTCTAGCTAGTAGAAGACTCCACTCCTGGTTAGATGTGTTCATCTCGGAGTGACGGCCCTCTAGCTAGCTTTTATTTAAAAAACTTTCCTTTGAACTCAAAATCTATTGGATCTTTTGAATCGTGGGCAATTCCAAGTTAGCGTTAAGGGAGATATTGCTCGACGCACACTCGTTCCGTACTGAAGCGATTGGCACCGCACCGAAGCGCTGTGACTGCTGAGATTGCTTTGGCGCCGACCGCAACCATTCTCTTTTTGACAACGAATGCTTTGATGCCTCTAGCCAGTATCTACCGGTAGCTAAGCTAGTTTAGCATCCCGACAATAATAAACGCAACGAGAACCGTAGCAGTTGAAAAAGAAGGCTGTGGTGTGCATCCTACATGTAATAACGCGAAGAATTGAAGTGGTTACCGGTATGTGATACAGGTGGATGTTCCGGTGTCATACAGTGGGTACCTCGAAGCACCCATCCTTGATTTCAACTGATCGAATAGTTGTTCTGACTACCCCAGCTCAACCCAGATAACTATACAATGCATGCGTCTAGCTAGGAAAATAATGAGTAGTTTGGTGTAAACATGTAATTTTTATAGACAAGTGATTTGTTTTCTTAAAAACAAGGAGTTGTAGTCGAAGGATTGGAGGGAGGAACATGGAAAAACACTGGCTTTTTGCTGTGTTTTGTTGTTTATGCTGACACCCTGGACATTGGCATGAATTCTTCACTGCTGTCAAACATGCCAAAACTGGCGACACTGGAAGCAGAATCAAATCGGTTGAGACTGGGAGGCAGTAGTGACACCGGGTGGAAGGCTGGAATTTCAATGGGAACTTCCATGCCAATAATAGTAGAAGATCTCTTCTTGTTGGTCGGGGATGAATTTTGAAAGATATCCGTGCAAGCGGATGATGAGGATGATGTTCCAGTCAGAGGAGGCATGGAGTTGTTATTGTAAGTGTTGTTATTGCTGTTTTCTTGTTGTTGACTACTGCGATTGGCAATGGTCTTGGAAAACATCAAGAGTTGCTTGAGAGCATCACTGGTCTTGAGTGCCGTGGGAGGAGATGCCGGACGAGCACGCTTGGTAGCGGGTGCTTGATCCCATTGCAATTCGGACTTGCGGAGTTCATCGCGAGCTTGTTTGCGCTTCTTTTGTCGGCAATCCTTGCTGGACTTGTATTGGGCCGTCAGACAATCCCGGAACGCTTGGGAAATCTTTTCGCGAGCCGTCATTTCGGGGACGGAATACCAGACCTTCGTTTTACTGTCTTGTCGGACAAAACCACCTCGTCGATTGACTTCATCAAAGACCGAGGAAACAATGCGGGATTTTTCCGGTTTGGAAGGAGCGGCCGAGTATTCTGTCAATCGAGTAGAGACAAGTGTGCGAAAGGTCTCGTTGTGTTCGTAGCATTTCTTGCCACGCCCACACATGACATGGTCTTGAGTAGGAGCGAATCCTTGCGGCATGGCTTCCGAGTCGGAAATGGAACTCTTGTTGCTGTGGTTGGAACCAGTGGGGATCAACTTGGGAAGGGCAAAACTGTACTTGATGGCACTCATTGTGAAAGTAAAAATTGGTGGGTGGAAAAGGGTAGCTTGGTGTTGGTGCTTTTTTGTGGCTTTTAGCTTTTGCTGTGCTTGAAATTGTGAGAAGAGATGAAGAGGACCTGAAGTAAGCTCTGTGCCGGATTTGTAGCATCGCAGCATCTATCTTTACTTTTCGCATTGTTGGCACGTAACGAGGAGGCTTGGAATGTTGGAATTGAATGGATGAGTACGGTAAGTAAGTATGTAGCCACAGCCAATGCAGTTTTCAGATGAGATACTGCACAGTGCACAGCAGGTAAAAATCTACTACATCCCGTACCAACTCCGTACCATTTTGAGGCCTTTTGGGAAGGCTGCAACGGCACAGCTCGGAAAGCGTCTTTTGAAGCTTCATCAGCTGAACCACTTGGAAAAGCTTTTGGAAATGATGAAACAGCACATCTCAGAAAGCGTCCTTGAATATGCATCTGTGATGCATCGCTTGGATAGAATCATAAAGGCATGCAAAACAAAAGAGCACAGAACAAGGAAAATACTGCACAGATATTGCATCCCTTTGAATCTTAATATCTATTTAACAATATATTTGGGGGTGTCCAGAACATTCCCCCTTTGTTGAATGATCAAATACACAATTGCACCTATAAAATGAAAGGAATTTGGGAGCAAAGATGATTTTGCACAGCCATAATCCTACCTTTTCAATGGATCATTGAAGTTCCAAACTGATTCAAAACAGCTCTCAACCTATGGATTAACAAAAAATCACTGTTCTTCCCACTCGCACTTGAAGACAGAAAGGATGTCATTTATTGACATGGAACTTTGACGCAGCTTGGACAATGGTGGCAGCTTAGTGAATGTCATCAGCATCTCCAATGGTTACTGGAACACTGGAACAGCTCTGAACCGGAAGTTATGGTTTTTCCAATGAAAAAGAACTGTAAAAACAGCATTCTGCTTTCTAAGCTAAGCACTAAGTCTTCTAGTGTTCCTCATGTTGCAGTGGCATCTTTCCGAGGCAACTCCAACGAGCTCTCCAACGTCTCCAACCGCCTGCGTCAGTGGTTTTGTACTGCCGGGGCATAGAGATGGCTGCATTGCATTGGTTGGAAAAGATCAAGCCTCATGCTTAGGGCTATGCAATGAAGGGTAATAGGGGGTGTTTGAGCTAATTCACCAAACTTCTTTATTGCGTGAAAAAGTTGCACAGGTCTCAGCGTCTTACAAAAAGGTGCCTGGACCAAAAACGGCTGCACACTCGAGTAAACTACTGGTGCAAACTGCATCCGCTTCATCCAACACAGGTGCAGCACTGTACAATGTACGTGAAGATGTTTGGAACAAAGCAATGTTGGATGTTCGGGTTGTCTTAAGTAGATGGGGTATTAATTGGAAAGCTAAAATTGAAAGTTACTCCAGCATCGAGACAACAAAGCAGTTTTACCTCAGCTGCACTCAATGTGTTTGGGAGTCGACGGATCATCGAGAACTCTCTGGATCCAACGATGGATTACCTTCGTGGAAGAACTCATCAGCCCGCATCCCGCATGGGCAGCCCAGGTCGTCAATCCGTGAAAGCTGAGAGTACGAGTATCCAAGATCATTCGCCATGGGTTGCCTGAACCTTACAAACGCACAGAGGACGACTTCTCGCTCCTCTGGGCTCTCGTGCGCTCTTCGTGAGGCATCACCCCAGCAGCCCCGTGAAAGTTTCTTGGATCATTCGCCATGGGTTGCCTGGAGCCTTGCAAGCAAACGCACGGAGGAGGACGACTGCTCCTCTAGGCTCTCGTGCGTTCTTCGCGAGGCACCTTCACGGGCTTCTCCAACTTCTTCTCGACTCTCTGCTTCTGGAGATGACATGGCAGGCCGGCATCCCCTTTTTCAATCGATTCCGTACAAGCAACAAAAGCAGTTTTACTGTAGCGCAGTCAACTGTGTTTGGGCTCTGGGCGCCAACGGATCATCGAGAACTCTCTGGATCCACAACGACTTCCACTTCGTGGAAGCACTCACCAGCCCAGCAGCCCAGGTCTCCAATCTGTGAAAGCTATGGAGTGTCTAGGATCGTTCGCCATGGGTTGCCTATCCTTTACAAACGCACGGAAGTCTAATGGGCTCCAGTAGGCTCTTCGTGAGGTACCTTCACGGGCTTCTCAAACCTCTTCTCGGCTCTCTGCTTCTGGAGATGGCAGGCCGGCATTCCCCTTTCAGCCGATTGCCGAGATGATGCACAGTTTCGACGGAGACATGACCCGAGCTTGTCCGGTGCGTCTTTCTCGAGTTTGTTCCAGCAAGAAACGACCAAACCATTTTGGGGTTGCCGGCACACTGACTTGACGCATTCAAGTTGCATTGCCCCGTGCCAACGGGGTACGCCCCCAAGACAACGCAAAACGACTCTCGAAATGATTGCGGGGAGCAATGTGCATCGAAACTTGAGGACTCTTTCGGCAGAGACCGGAGAGCTTCCTCCATGTCCATCAAGTACTGTACTGTTGGTAAAGCACACGTGCTTGGGATTGTCATTTGCAGGCACCAGAATTGTTGCTGGATGAACTTGCCGAGGTGCAATGTGAGCGAGTTGTACTGGTTGGTACCGGTACGAACATTTTGCCGTGGACCTACCGTACCAGCAGCGTGCCAGCCACTCGACACACTCGAAAATCTCTATATCACACCTTTGGTTGCCAGCCACTGCCAAACGAAAATGGTCTCTCATGCCGAGCGTGGAGACGCGCAGTGGAAGAAGCAAATCGGAAGCGACTCACAAACAACCTGGACCTGTGGGATCGATTTAGATTCGATTCCGACGTACTATGAGTGAGTACTGGTACCAGGTACTATCGTCGTTTTGTTAGCCATCGTGTCAGCAGCCAAAATCAACAATTCTTGCTGTGAAAGCAATGGAAACCGCACTCTTCGACAGCATTTGAAAGCTATGAATGAGTCGCATCCGTCCATCCGAGGGCCGTGGTGTCGTTAGATCTTATCTGGCTTGGCTCAAGGTGCCTTGGAGTTGGAACTCTTGCGCTTCAAGCGGGAAGAAAACTCTTGGGCATGTGTTGCTCCGAAAGCAAGGCGACCGTCGGGCCAACGTTCAGCACCAGGGCCAGTCGTGGTGTCGAGACCCGGATTTGAGTGAGTACCTCGTACTGTACCAGTGAGAACAAGCTCGACTGGAGCGAAGGTAGCCAAAGGCGACGTCGGATACAACACACAGTCCAACAACAACAAATAAAATAAGAAAGTGGACAGTCAGTAGGCATGGTTACTCAATCTGCATACGAGCACCCCATCAACTGCCGAGAATGCTCGAGCACAATCAAAGGCATGAGATATCGTTCTTCCCAGCACAACAACTACAACATTTGCCACTTGTGCTGGCTCACAAAGCACAAGAATAAGGGCGGGGAGGAAAGTTTTTACCCCTATGATAATTGGCAGAGTGATGCAGAGAGACGTGTCTTCTCCTTTTCGTGTCCTCAGATCTGTCACAGCCTCGGTAGATTTTCCATCCCTTGGGTTGGATTCGACGATACTTCCTGCACCAGAACCATTGAAAACATGGTGGTGGAAGTTGAAAGGAGCTGCCCTGCGGGGATGCTACAAAAGCTCACTTCCTGGTTGGCAACCCGCGCCTCTTTGTTAACCATTCGAATTTCCATCTTCCAGGGGGAAACCGAAACCATAAGGGCCATCTGCGAGGCTCTCAAGACATCGGTATGCCTCCAGTGTGTTGGTCTCACACTGAGGGCAGATGACAATGATGTGTCCCTAGCAGCACGCAAGTCGTTGCAAAACTTGATAGAAAACTGTGGAGCAATCCAGCATTTGACAATTGGAATGACTTACAGCGTTTTCAGAAGCATCGCCGCCCCACCAAGACCCACCACTGATTACTTGGAAAGCTTTCTCTTTGATGGTTTGATAAACACGAAATTGGCAACCTTTGCATACTGGGGGCCCAATGTTGTGAGGGTTCAAAACAAAGAAAAGGCATGGCGCGCCATGGAACAGAACAACAACCTGAAACGTATCGTCGCTGAATTTGGAGACTACAGGACGGATTCGCATTTGCCATTGTTGGAAGCCAATAAATGCTGTGGGTGGATAAAAGAATGGACATCAACATCAACAGCGAATGGCCGGCCACAACAGCATGGCTCCATCTTGCAACAAGTATTGGACTTCCCGACATTGAGTAACTTTCCTGACAAGCTCCCCTTATTGTATCACTTTCTCCGGGAAAGACCAGATGTTCCTTTGGGGCGAGCCGAGGAGGTGATTGCTGCTGTGGGCGCCAACCCCGTGAGGCCATGGCCAACCGACTGCAAAATGAGTAAGCGAACTGTTACGGCCAGAAGCAGAGGCAAGAAGAAAAAGCAGCCCCTGCAGTGGTACCATTGCTGGGGTTGTCAGACGCACCTCTATGGAGATGAGAGAGCGCTGAAGCAGCACCAGGAGCAGAGCAAAAGGCACAAACACGAGAAGAAGAAGAAGAAGAAGAAGAGCCGGCAGCACAAGAAACGACCCACCAACCATGGAGTGCCTCGACACGTGAAGCTGCCGGTTATCCATCACTGCTGGTGTTGCAGGACATCTTTCATTGCAGAAGACCATTGGAAAGAGCACTTGAATAGCAAGGGACATCGGCGCGGATTGAACCATGCAGCCCCAAGCCCGAACCAGCAAGAAGCAAATGATTAGATTAACTTCGTCTTATTGGTTGACCTCTTGTGTATAGGCCCGGCGTCCGAGCAAATAATAGCTAGCTAGACGAGCCTCGTCGGGGTGCAGTGCCTTTCCAAGTTAGAAACAGTGGAATGGACTTACAGCCGCGGATCCCCCACAACAATGATACCCCAGACCAATCCTTCCCCATCAATCATGTTTCTAACTTGAGGCGGCTGAGCAACGTTCAGGACTTTCGTATGTCCTTGTTGGGATCCAATATTCAGCAAAGTACGTTGGTTGCGCTCGTTGATGCTTTGGCGGGGTGCGAGCGGCTCACGACTCTTGGATGGGGTGTGGAGGAAGGAAAAGCAAGCGCGTTGATTGGAAAGCATATTCGTGCTGTTGCCCGATTGCTCAGCAGATCACCGTCGTCATTGCAGACTCTTATTTTGGGCTCCACGACGGTCACGGCGCAAGCCTTAACCCAACTGGCCAACGCCGTCTGCCAGTTCTCCACACTGAAATCCATACGATTGCATGGACGGCGCCGCAGAGTTCACTCCTCCTTCTGTAATCGTGGGTTTCGAAAACCTTCTCAGGTTGCTGAATATCAACACAACACTGGAAGATTGCTTTTTTGCCAAAGGACCGGGATGCGTGCGAAGTCAATTGCGTTTCCATCTCAAGCTCAATAAGTCGGGTCATCGGCGACTCTTGTCGCAATCAAACCGAGGCAAACTTGCTCGAATGCTGATTGAGAACCACACGGATGTTTCGGTCGTTTACTACTTCCTGCTACAAGATCCATCAATCTTTACAAGCTGATGAGGTGATAACCAGCTGACGACGCATTCCTGTAACCCCGCGGGGAAATAGTTTCAAAAGTCTTCGGGAGGCGGCTTAACCTACGGTAGTATTCCAGGTTGTTGTCCCTGTGAATCCGCATCGGCCCTGATCGGCACATCTTCGGTTACGGCCTTGCTTGTTGTGGCGTGTTTGCATGATGGGTGATAGACAGGGCCTTCACTGGGCTCCAGTAATACGGAACCGGAGGGCCTCATGCCAGCGTTGGCACAACATGTCTGCAGCCGAGACGTGCCTGTTTTATGCATACCGTTGCAAACCAGAACCCCAAACACAGCACAAAACCAGAGCAACTAGACCAACCAGACCAACAGCGACAGGCCGACACGAAAAGACATCCTCATGGCCATGACAACTCACCGCGTCCTCTGTCGAGAATGCTCTGTGAGCCCAATAAAAGGCACCAGATACCGTTCAACTGGACACCTCAACTACAATATCTGCAACTTATGTTGGCTCACAAAGTACCAAGCTGAGCAGGACCAATTCATAGCCTACCGGTATGAGAGTTGGAAAAGCGAAGAAGAAGCTAAATCCTTTCCTCTTTCGCCACCTGTCGTCAATCTTGATCTTGCCAGACAATCCAGGTGGTTTGGTCTTGAGGACAACGCCCATCCTTTGGAAGATCCATTGGAATCTTTGAGCGTGCACATCAACCAGAATTGTCCTCTACGAAAGCTCCTCAATTTCACTTCTTGGTTGGCGGATCATGTGGCGCTGGTATCAGTTCGGATCAATGTGTACAGGGGACAGACTCAGTTCATACAATCCATCTGCGAGGCACTCAAGGCCTCTCGGTGCCTAGAGTGTGTCACCATCCTTCTTCGCCAAGGTGGTGACTACGTGGGCTTCATGTCCCCACTGGCAGTCAATTCATTGCAAGATTTGGTGGCCGACAGCGGATCCATCCGACACTTGACTATTGGGTTGACGCATCTTGTGGCTGGTTTTCAGGACCGTATACCCCGTCACCCCCCCCCCCCCCCACGGATTTGCTAGATGACGCTCTCTTTGACTCCCTGGACAGCACTCACCTGACCACATTTGCCTATACCATCCCTACCTTTGTGAGTGTCAAGAACAAGCAGAGGGCATGGTGTGCCATGACGGGCAATCCCCACCTGAAGCGCATTCGAGTGGACCGATTTAAGGGTCACAAGACAAATTACCGTCTTCCCCTCTTGGAAGCCAGCAAATGTTCTGGGTGGATGGAACGATGGATCGAAGGCAGCAGCCAACCTGGCACCATTTTAGAAGAAGTGTTGGAGTTTCCCTCCCAGTGCTTTTCGGACAAGGTACCCTTGTTGTACCACTTTTTGCGATCGAAACCAGACGTTCTTGCTGGTGGACCAGCCGACAAACTAATTGCTTGCTCTTTGGTCAACAATGCCGCCAAATCAAACCTCCACCGAAAGGCCTTGCCAAGGAAGGGGCCGCCAAAGAAATGCTCCAAGTCGCAGCAGTGGTACATGTATCATTGCCATCATTGTCAAACACACATTTTGGGGGATGTGGAGGCAGTGAAACAGCACCTTCTGGCGAGCCAACGTCATCAGCAAAAGGCACCCAAGGGGCGAGAAGATGAATCCCCATTCCTGCTGTTGGCAAGCATCTTGCACAAACGAAATGTCACATACATGTAGAGTCAATCAAAGTTACCAACAATATGCTGTCAGGGGTTACATCACTCATCAGTTCATCAAAATATAATAAGCTATCAACATCATGGTCTAAACAATCGCAAACAAAAGCAATTGCAAAGTCAAGCCCAAGCCCTTTGCCCCCTTTGTCGGTTCTCCACGGAACCCAGGCCTGAATTTGGACAGTCTACTATTAAAATAGTAGTACTGTAGATCTGATTTGCTTTCCTTGAGCTTAGCTTGGGCACCGGTAGATAATCTCCAGTGACTCGAGCCGAGCTTCGTGTCCTCACGTCCTCACCCTGCGATCTGAAGAAAGTGGTGTCATTCAGTCGTGGTGACCTTTTAAGTCTTAAGTCGTGACCACGCATCACAGGCTCCGCAGCTCCTCATCAGCCTCCGCAGCAACATCGCAACAAACAACAACAGCAACAACGAGGAAGCACCCAGGCATCTGGTAGCATCAAGACCGCTCTGAGAGGCCCAAGAAGTGTCTTGTTGGGTGTTATAGGGTGTTATCGGGTCCAGAGTCGGTACTCATCAGTGGCTCAGTCTCGTCTCGTCACATGTCGTTTTCCATCTGGCAGAATCAGTCATCTGAAAATTGGGGTGAAAAATTGGATGACACCATGATGAGCTCACTTTTTTGTTCAACCGGATTGCTAGAGTTGCATACCCAACCGAACAAGGAAGACTTTTGCGATTGTTGATAAGCCTAGGCCAGATCAACCCCCCTACATTCAATTACCTTTACTACCAATCTTCTATTCAATACCTATCAATTGCAAAATGAAGTTCTCTTCTTCTATCATCAAGCTGCTCTCGTGGTCCATGACCACCGACAACTACAACAGCAACACCAAGAAGACCCCCGTTCTCCAGGTCGCCAAGGAGACAACGGGCAACAACAACGACAAGGACGTTCCTGTGGCAGAGGAAGTCCCAATCAAGTTCCAACTGGACGAGTTGGACAAGACATGCGTCGAAACCGCGGCACTGTTGCACATGTACGGAACGAGTCCTGATGTGGAGTTCCAGCAGCACGGTCGCTGCCTAGGTGCTTACGACCTTTCCCTGGTTCCTGCGGATCAGCATGGTCACTATGGATACGACAAATACAACCAGCACCAGCCCAAAGGCTGTCGCATCCAACCCAGTCAATCAGCCAACGCTCGCTGGAAGACCCATTACGGTCAAGACACCGAACGGAGCAATGGAAACCGTTTATCCTTTGCTCCCGTCAACACTGTAGTGGGGTACTCTTCTGACGAGAGCGAACAAGCTGAGAACCGTCGTGTCTATCGAGACATGAACAAACAAGTGCCACAGGCCCGATACGAATTCTGGCAGGAAGCCCAACAACAATTCATTTCCGTTGGCACACAAACACCCCACGAACGCGTCTTGGATCTCGTGCAGTTGATTCAAGAGTACGGATACCAACAAGTGTCCAAATGGATCACCAACAACCAATGGTTCCAAAGTGACAAAGCATACCTACAAAAAGCCAAACTGTACATTGAAATTGATGCCGTGCATCAAGACCTCGAGGGACTTGTTCGTTTCATCCAGGCGAAGAAAGGAAATGACAAGCAAGTCTCCCACTGGTTCATGGTCAACAAAAAGAACACTTACATGTTCGAACTCGCCATGTGCCACTTGCACCTTGGAGGAATTCAGCGCAATGCTGACGACGAAATTTGCACCTTGAATACGCGAGAACAGATTGCCAAACGACGATTTGTCTATCGCAAGGTCAAGGATGTCTGCATGGAAGATGCAGCACCCGTAGAATTAGAACAACAACCAACAACAACTAAAGGCATTGAGACAGTAGAAACAGTCTCGACCGTCGACGACAACAAGATGGCATCCGATGCCACAATCACATGCGAAGCAGCGGTGGTTCCCACATGCACAGCAGTGGTCCCATACGTTCAAAAATGGCATGTGAAACACTTCAAGATCCGTGTGCATGGACAGCAACCATTTGTATTGGAGATGGGAATGATGAATGGTGTGCTACTTGGAGTGGTACCCAACAACATTCTCGCAGCTTTGATGAAGGATGGTGGAGACCTTGTCAAAGAATTGATGCGGCGGCACAAGACACTCCGATTGGAAGCCTCGGACGATGCGGATTACGAATTCGTGACTGGCCAAGTTGTGGAAGTAGCTGATGAGGAACCACTACCAGTCGAGGAACAACAACAAGTTGATGCTGAAGCACCACTGGTCGACAATCGAGTCGATGAGGAGGACAATGTGGACACAGTACAATCAACTTTGCGACGATCAAAGAGACGCATGGCGGCGATTGCATCTCAGAGAATTGCAGAACAAATCAAGACAAAGCCACGGCGGGTGGCAGTTAAACAACAACCTAGAATTAAACGTAGATGGGCGGCGGCCACCAAGAAGAAGTCGACAAAGCCAAAGGCGAAGGGCAAGAAGAAGAAGAAGATGACACAACCTGTGACGGACACACAGCAGCAAACAACAGTTCAGACAACAACAACTCTTTCTGGACGGCAAGTCAGAAAGCCTGACCGGTACATTCCAGTCTAGGACAACAGGTAAGTAAGTGGGGACGGCGACGATGACGGATTGTGGGGACTACTAACACATGAATACAAATACACAACAATGAGCAAGCATCTGGTGGGGTGCAGGGCTATACAACAATTCTATTCTATTTTGCAGAGATGAATACAGTTGGTTCAATTGAAGGGTCACATCGAAGGTAGCCAGGTTTGTGGTTCCTGTGCTAGGCAGCCTCTATTGCAGAGTGCTTGTCCGAACGTCCTCCACGCGACGAAAGTCCAAAGTTAATACCCGTGACACCCGACAACCAACCTCTATCATTGTTGATGCTACTACAATCTTAAATACAACCAAACATAAACGTAGAACAATAACACATAGTAGATAATCGCTAAAAAACAAAAATCACGGCTTGATTCTTTACATGTATACTAGTTGTAGTTGTACCGTACTAGCGCATCCATTGTACCGCAAGCTCTGGAATGTTGTGGTGTCACAAAGAGGTCGTACAGGTACCGTACCTATGGTTAAGTGGTGTCATCCAAAAAAAAATGTTGTTCTTTCTTTGCCGGGATGGCTTCCTTTGACTGTCAGGACCACACTACAGTAGGTCGATTTGAAGGTTCACCAACTAGAAATGCCGATTACAGCATCGCCAAGTGGTCAGTTCGGGTGATCATTTCTATTATCATTTTAATACTTTTTGCAAAAAGTGAGGCTCGCCTCGCGTCCGAGACATTTCTTTTCGGAAATGGGATTGAAAGGCAAGCCGTTTCTTTAAGTCCCACTCAATCACAGATTAGAAAATGAAGAAAATCACCATCACAAAGACAATAGCGCGTCAATCGCTCAAGCTCTCTTTGACCACTGAAACACCTGTTGACTCAGTAAAAACAGATGCTTTCTCTCACAAGCAGTAAGACGCTCCCGTTGTCGCCAAAGAACCACCACAAATTCCTCAAAGATCCCATCATTCCGTCGCGAAACAGCGAAGATCCGACGTTGCGAAAGATCGAAAACAGCGCATCAAGCCCAGCCAATCGAAAGATCCCGTTGTTGACTTGACATGCCACCGGATGATCGCTCACAAATTCCACCAAAATCCCATGGCATCATTCCGTCGCGAATCTTCCCGTGAAGCCCATCAAAACCACCCACAGACTCAATATAAAGACAACCAACCACACTCAACAAACACACAGCCACAATCCCCCTTGTTGCATGCACTGCAACACTCACTCTTACACCTCATCAGCAAGCTAGGAATCCAAAGATGGCAACAGTTCAAAGGGAGTTAGAAATAAGACCATATAAAAGCAGTACAAACAGCACCAGCTTACCTTTCCATCCTCTTCCTCTGGAATGAAATTCGCATCATCAATCTCGTCCCCATTGTCGTCAAACTGAACCTCGTCTTGATCAACCAACAAGTCAATAACGTTGCCGTCCTTGTCCAGGTCAAAGCCAAAGAGATTGCCCGTCTCCAATCGAGCCGCCACATCCTCCGCACTCTCCTCCTGGAGAACCGCATAACCACCACCAAGATGCGGAATCGCATCGGCGTGCCACCACTGATACTGCATCGTCAGAATATCATCCACAACATTGCGGTAGCGAGCACCACCGCGACGTTCAACGAATGTACCGTCCTTCACCATTGCCGCCTTATTCTCTTGCGCTCGAATTCCCTTCTGGTCGCCAAGGCCTTGGACGACAGCGCCTCGAGCCAAGTGAATCGCCATCATCGAGTCTTCGAATCGATCCATATCCTGGACGATGCGTTCGCTGGGCGGTGCGCCTTGGAGGACACGATGGTACGCTTCCTGCCCACGCTTTGGTGTCGAGATGGTGAACTTGGTTGGGTCGTCATCGTCCAAATGGCTCGTAATGATGATATGACGATTCACTGAATCATTCACGTCCTTGTTGAGAGACGTATCCCAAGCGTTCATCTAAGAAGCGCATAATGGGGTAGCCCGAAAACAGTGAGGTCGGTTACAAATTTGGTAGGTCAGTCGATGGTAAGGTTACCAATTGATAAGCCCTCTTCCTGAATTGGCAACCATGGTTACCAGTCCATGAGGTAAGGGTGTCAAACAGAGACCTAGCAATGCTATTGAATCCACAAGGTCTCTACTAGCGTAATGGGCATGGTCTATTGGTTGGTAATCGGCGTTCTATTTTAGTCTAGTTACATCTATCGTACAACCAAGTCGTCGTCGACTTAGCCAAATCCTCGAAACTGACTTGTGCATACAGGAAAATGGGTACCGACACAGGAATCACCACCAAAGCACTAGGAAATAACACTGGAGGGATGAATCCAGTAGTAGGATCCACTCTCCTCTGTGCGTTTCGAGTTGTCGTGTAGCCTCCTCCTCTTGTTGCCTTTTCAATGACTCGACGACGATCCTCCGTTCAGGTTGGTCCTAGGGCTGGAGTTAACAGAGCCTCCTCCGTAGTGGTAGCCTCGATCGTTCGTTCGTTCGAAAAGGAGTCCTCGACAATGGGATTTCCTCGGCTGTCAGCAGTGCAGCTCAGAAAACAACAAATAGATATGAGTTTTGTTTTCTGTGCTCAACTGAAGAAAACCGGAGACTTACTCTTGTTTTCAAATTCCACCAACTTGGCCATCATGGGCCGAGAACTGACTGCCATCCCATGGTCCATAGGATTCAATGAGGGATGGCTTTCGAATCTGCACCAGAGAAGGACGGCTTGAGTGAGGCTTGATAGAAGAGGTGCAACCGATTCGATTCGAATAATTAAAACAACTCACCTGTTGACGGCCGAGCTTGGAATTCTCTCCTGTTTGCCATAGGAATTCAATGAGGGAGAGAAGTCAGCGCTGTACCTTCAACAACACGCTTGATAATAGGCTTACCTCATTGCGATCGATTCGATCGAGCGATCGGTCGATTCAACTGAGGCCGATTGGATAAAGAACTCCTCCGCATCCAACACTCTTGTTGGCCAAGCTTGGATTTACCTCCTGTTTACCATAGGAATTCAATGAGGGAGAGAAGTCAGTGATGCGCCTTCAATAATAACACACTTGATAATAGACTTACCCGTTATCGTAGCAGTACTGGTACTAGTAGTATTAGTAGTAGCGACCGGCCGCTCCTCCACTATTGTGTTGCTGTTGTTGTTGTGGTTGAATGAGCGACTGATTGGGGAGGCTGGTTTCAAAGAAGAAACAGCCGGGCAGGCTGTTCCGTGAAGTCTGTTTGAATCCTTTAGTGTGGAAAAGCAGTACTCTCCAATGACACTTCCCAAAACAGCTTGCCCTCCTTATAAATCCAGGTTGACGCCTCTTCAAGAGCAGGGCTTTATTACCTCACCAATCGAGCCTTCTCCTCTTACAGAACAAGGAATGGCATCTCCACAGCACGCATCCAACCATGCAAAGAGAGGCTGCTCCGTACAGAGGCATCCATGAGGTTACCAACCAGCCACAAACCGAAGTAGCACCTTGTACATTCAGGTATCCAATAGGTACCCAATCTAGAAGGTGTTGCTAATCAAACTGAAGGTCAAAACTGCCAGGTAACCTAAGGGATCCTCAAAAGGAATGGATGCCATTACCCAATCAGCATGCCATTTGCTTACCAAAGAGGAGATTAGGAGCTGGAATTGGAAGCAATAGCCTACCAATCTAGAACCAAATGGGTACGGAAAAGGCAGGTAAGGACCATCCAGATTCAAAATTACCCCATTATGCGCTTCTTAGATGTTGGCCTCGGGACTGTTGCCTGACGGGAACTTGTCGAGACGATTGCTGGTGAGGTTCAATCCAACAGGAAGAAGCCAGTGCGCAAGGTAGCCGTGTTCCTCCATCCACTCGTAGCATTCTTTGGACGTCATCTGGGACAGCGCATCGTGATAGAAATACCAGCCGTGAAAGTTAGGTCGGTGCTTGCGAAAGAAGCGCCTTGATTCCTTGTACATGTGTTTGACGACCTCTGTGACACATCCGGTCGAATTCAGAGTAGTGGATCGTTGAATGAAGTCTCGCCAATCCTCACCATAGCGGGACTTGTAGGGATTTGGACGCTTGCGGTAGTCAGTTGTGTGTGGGACCACATTCGAAGCCTTCCGACATGCGGCACGCCAACCTTTGAGAGTCTTGAGATTTCTTGAGACAAACCGGATCTCAAAGGTACCACCACCTTCGTCCTCCATAGAGTAATCTTCCGTCATGTCCCGCAGCTCGAAGGTTTCCGCTTCTGCAAAGTCACGACAGTGATGATGCCGTGTTCGTTGAGCTTTTCATCGTTGCCTTTCCAACGTAAGGAATCATTCCTTTTACGAGGATGTCCGACATGTAGAGTTTCCCCACTTCCCGTGTCGTAGTCAACCAACCTTGCGTCTTGGCTGGACCATCCCGCATCTTCTTGATCCTGACAATCTCAATTTTGACAAGCTCGCGGTATTTCTTCAAGGAGATGATGTTCCTGCTAGTGTAATCAAATGGATCCAACACCCATCCCTCCTTGCGTTCGACAACACCATCAGCGTTGCGGTAAGAGACCATGGCACAGCCAAGTCCAAGGCGGACCTCATCCTCTACTTGAGTTCAAACAGTACGCAGGAACAGCATGATGTAGCTTCCGTTGGGATCTGGTTGCCCCTCGTCGTTTCTTGCAAACTGGACAACAGTTTTCCGACCAGCCTGCGCATGAACCGACCCAATCTTGCACTTGCGGTGCATCTCATCCCAGACGGCACAATCATCGACTTGAAAATCCCATCCTGCGGCTTTGAGTTTCTCAATATCAAAGCAGGGCGGAAGTGGAAACTCATAGCCAGAACCGGACGCACGAGAGGAATCGTCAGGCTGTTGTTCCGAACTGGAACTCGCACTGCTTTCGTCGTTCGCACTGACTTCATTAGGAGGGGGAGTCGGAGGCTGTTGACTGGAAATAGAGCTGGAAGAATCAGCCTTGTAAGAGGAACCAGACGATTCGTCACTGATCCAGCCCTCCAAGCCCAACACAACTTGTCGCTGAGGTAGTTCCTCTGGAGGATCCGTCAGCGCTGCTTCACGAAGCCGGTCAGGAACCTCAACATCATGTCCCATGCGAAGTAACAGTTGTGTAGCCCAACCATGACGACGAAGTGCCCAAGGGGAGTTGACATCCCTGTTGCCTTGCTTCCGCTTACGAATTGGCACGACCCTGTGCTTGAGTCGTTTCTTCAAGCCATCGACCGCAGACCTGGAATAAGGGATCAAGCCTCTTTCAATTCGAAGACGATTCAGGTGTTGCATCGCCATTGTCACGCTCATGCTCTTCCGTTCAATGCAGTTGGCAATGAAGACGGCATCAAACGAATTGTTGGGGATGATGACCGGCTTGAGTCCAGCATGAACCCGCTGGCCAGTGTACACAATGTGTTGCTCGCAGCAATGATGCAAGTCTGTGAAGACGTCAACATACTTGGTCCGGTTGCTTTCTTCGTACAAGTCTCTGCGTATCTTGACTTGCGTGCCATTGATGCCAATCCATGGAGTGTCTTTCGTGTCCTCGTGGAATGCATACTTGTAAGCATAAAGATATGCAATAGCCATCTTCTTCGCTCTCTCCTCCGGCAAAATCTGCGCCAAAGCAGCCTTGACCTTCTGCTCATCCGGAATGTAATCCATGTCGTCGTCGTCGTCATGGTGATCAGGATCCGAGTCTTCTTCTTCCATTGAGTCTTCGTCAGGCTTGAGGCGATCCGCCAAGGACCGGAGGGGCTCCTCCTCATCAGAGGAAAGATCTGCAAGACGAGCATGATGAGCACGACGGGTTGGACTCATTCCCAAAGCTTCAGCCACATCGTTTGCATGGTCCGCACGCCTTGCTTGTGCTTGCTGTTTGCTTCGATCATGGATAGCTTGTTCCTTCTTGGATCTCTTCTTGCCTCCCTTGGTTTTGTAGAAGGAATTCGAACGGCTCCTCCTGCGTTTCTTGGCCATGGTGGAAGAAGAAAGACCGTGTCAACGTCAGAGAGGAAGAATCCGAAGCAATGGATGGACGACGGCGACGGCGGGAGCGTGGACGACCGAACTGAGAGTCCTCGTAAGATAACAGCGACGATGACGCACAACTGGTAGCAGAATCCCAATGAAAGAATAAGCAAAATCCCAATGAAGGCCGAACGGCTGATCCCCATGGTCGGTCAATCCGAAAGGAAAGAAGATAATGAACGGAGACCACCATTTCGATTGAAGATTCCTGCAGAGTTTCCCTTGTAAAGTTTCGATAGTCAAAATAATGAGATGGTTTCCTTCGAAGAATGAAGAATGAAGACCCCTCCGACTGATTCAACCCGGCTGATTGCGATCTTTGTCAGTTGGACCAGGAGGTTGCTCCTCTCTCACTGATTCTTGCGGCAATCAACATGGACACGAAGGGAAACCCATGGTCCCCAAATATCGATCCCATCTGACAAAGAGGCAATCCGATGACAACACACATGTCTCATGGTCGCGAAATGAAGCTTCACGGAACGAGTGGTGTCAATCGGACGTGTTGTGAGAGGAGTTCACGGAACGATTGGAGTCATCAACATGGTCGCTGACACTGATAAACATGATCGAAAAGGGATGCACTTGGTGGGATGCGATTTTCTTTGGATGCAATGACTAAATAGAGAACTCGAAAGACTTTCTGTGACTGGAGAGTCGGCCATCTAGTTTAAAACTAAGCTCACATTTTCAGCCTCACATTTTGCCAAATCCATTGAAAAGGTGGCAAATCACTCATCGTGAAAGGGGGGGACCATTTTACAGTCAAGGGAGTGACCAAAAATTAAGAAATGAGGTTCTATCCTGCTCAGTAATACTCTAAAGAACCAGGATAGACCTTCTTTTATAGGATTTGATCATCTCCTCATGGAGAAAAAGTGTCCCCCAAATAGGATTCCGTGATGAAGCATCCGTACGGTACCTTTTGCTCATGTCTCACAACTCTTACAGCTTTGCGGGCTGAAGGCTCCTGACGTTTGTTCGCAGAATTCTTGAAAGTTACTTCAAAAAATCCATCATCTTCTCCATCATCGCCATGGCAGTAACATTAAAGACAAAGATGCCGTCGTTATCATGCTGCTCTCCTGTCCTGCTTATCGTGTGGATATTGGTGGTGACAAGCCCCATTGGTGTGTTGGGTTGGGGCAAAGACGGTCATGAATTGGTGGGAAACCTCGCCTACCGTTTGTTATCCAGTTCGGCTCAATCGGCAGTTCATGAGATTCTTGGAGATGATGATGCGGTAGCGCATCATGCTGACTGTTACAATAATACTCCACTGGGTGCCATTGCCGATTGGGCCGATCAAGTTCGTATGAGCAAGGACTACCATTGGTCGGGTGTTTTGCATTATATAGATATTCACGATGAAACGGTGGAGGGTGGATGTCCCGCCGTTGGTGACACGGACAAGAAGGGTTGTCATTTCGACTATTCTCGAGACTGTAAACAGGATGCTTGTGTGGCGGGTGCCATTGTCAATTACACACATCATTTGGCCGACTGGAAGCAACAACAACCACGACTCTCCAAACATCTCCGAGGATCCATGAGTCTCTTGGCGCCTTTTCGACTGCTAGCTACTACTACGACAAATCCTCCCACCCAGTTGGTGCAAGAAAGTCTCAAGTTTTTGACCCATTTTGTGGGAGATATTCATCAACCTCTGCACAGTGGTAGGCAGTCGGATATCGGAGGAAATCGCATTGACGTTACGTTTCACATTCCCAGCAGTAGTAACAACCGGGCAGTCTCCACTCCTAGAAGATCTGGTAGACGTACCACTACTACCACCCATCATCATCACCATTTGGAACTGCACGCCGTGTGGGATACGTCCATGATTGAACGAGCCATTCATACTATCTACCATCATTCACGGCAAGAATTGGAAGAAGATTTGATGACATACATCCAAAACAACAATTCCACTCATCACGATTGGTTGGCATGTGCGGATACATCCCAGCAAAAATGCACATCCGCATGGGCCGAAGAAAGCTGGCAACATGCATTGACATGGGCATACCGGAATGCCGATGGACAGTCCGAAGTCACACCGGGAACCAACTTGACGGATGCATACTACGAGACACGATGGCCACAAATCTTTCAGTACATTGCCGTGGCCGGTGTCCGATTGGCGGCGGCCCTCGAAATGGTATTGGGAGACGACAAGAACCATCATCTTGATTAATGCAGGAGAACGTGCTTCCAAGTCGATTTCTTTTTGAAACATGACTCATACAATGCACTTTCCAGTCATGCCTGCACCTCTTCTCTTGGCTGGTCCACAGAGCGTACAATGGCCAACGCAGACATACCGGTACTGCTGTAAAACCTCTAGCCTATACTTTATGTTACCTTTCTCTAGAGCGGTGGACTATTGCTTCCTTTAGTGCAGATTTCCGCTTCTGCTTGGTTGTAGTACTGGGTTGGGCCTCCTTTTGAACGAGCCGTTTGGATTGTTGCTTTCCTTGGTGTAATGGCGCCGCCATCTTGTTTACAGATGGCTTGGCGGTTGGTGGCGATCTCTTTGCATTTGGTGGTTTGGTTATTGTACTAGGTTGTCTCGTCATGTTTGGAGGAGACTTGATGGTTGTGGGTTGGGTTGGCTTTGGAGGAGACTTCTTGATGGTCGTCTTGCCGGGTTCCTCCTGGTGATGTTTCTTCGTCGTGGTTGCTTTTGCTCTTGCCTTTTCGGACAGCGTTACGCCTGGGGGATCGGATGTTCTTCTGGATTGGCGTCTTGGTGGGGCAGATCCTCCCGCTACTTGTACAGAGCTTGTCTTCTTTTTCTTCTCCTTGGAGCTCGTCGTACCTGAGTGTATGGATTGTTGTGTTTTCTTTGGCGGTGGTGGTGGAGTCGCAGCACCATCGCCCTCCGTGGACATCTTGCTGTTTCGTTTCTGTCTCTCGCAATGGTTGTTGTTGACAATGGCTGTGGTATCGTCATTCTTCCTTGGCCCACCAGGTACACGAGAATGGGATGACTGGACTGTTTTGGAGCTCTTTCTCTTCAGAGGCTTCACTTCCTGCAGCTTTTCAGGATCTGCCTGCTTTCGGGTTGGATTCGTTGCTTTCTCTAATAGCGTCGCTTGTTGCAACTGCCTAGCACTGGACCATGCCGGTGGCTCCAATTTCCGTGGTTTGCTGTCTCGCATGGTTGATAATGTTGTCGTGGATACGCTGGCAGTATCCTGATGATCTGTTGTCGTCACAATGCTGGTGGGGATGCCACCATGGTGGTTGGTGGTAGCCCTTTGTGGTTGCTGCTGTTGCTTTCGTTGACTTCCACCCGCACTGCCACCCCGAAAGAAGGTTTTCTCCATTTTCTGCGACGAGTGCCAAATGTCGGATTCCGGGTTGAGTTCCGTGGGTCGTTTCCATACCACATCAAATCGTAGTTTTCGTGCAATCCACCAAATGACAATCATGGCAAAGACCACCAGGGGGATGATAATGGCGCAAAGATACAACGTCATGGACACGGTGGAGCTCATCTCGGTATTGGGGGGCGGGGAGCCTTGATGATTGCTACTTGTTGATGACTCGGTGGGAGTGAGGATTGTTGATGATGATGGCGGTGATGTAATGGCCAGCAATTGTCCCGTGAACGTATCCAGTCCAACCACATGACCACCCACATTGAGCAGTGTCACACTATCAATGTCAAATACCCCGTGTCGCGTCAGTTCCAGTAGGTACTCTGTCTTGTTCTCTCCCAAGAACCCCAGCAACGTTTCCTCTTGGACGTGTTTTCGCATGTCGGGGGAAGTTGGGTAAGAATAGTAGCTGGTACCCGAGTAGGCCACTTTGGTTTTGAATTCGTCTTCTTCTCGGATGAACAGGTACAGCAGTAACCGCTGAAACGTCGGCTGTTCTTGGGACAATATTTGAACAAGATAGTTTCGAGTGGCGGTCAAGACATCCATTTCCTCCATGGCTTCAAAGCTTTGATCTCGACGGGGGTGATGATGGTACACCAGGTGGAAGGGTTCCAGCTGGATGGGATATTCTTCAATTTCCAAGCCACGTGAGTCATCTTGCTGTATGCTGCCGTGCCGCCTCAGGCTGTCTTGTGCTCGACATGATACCGCCAGCACATGGAAGAGAAGAAGAAGTATCCGCCACGGCGTCATCGTCAGAGTCAAACCACACACAGAACGTTTTGAGGTCAGGATCCTTGCTTTGATCTTTAGAAAGACAACCATGAAATTGGCTTGTATTAGGCGGCTGACCAAGGCAATGAATCTCGTTAAATTTGTGCTTGTACTCGACGATTGCGGCCCCCAAGAGGCATGCCATTCATGGTGGCTTGGACGAAAATGCTCGCCTACTTTCGTTTCGCATCCGAAGTGTGAAGAGGAAAATTTGAAATGCGATCTTTTTCTCAAAGAGAGAGAAAACAGAACTCAACTTAAAATGCAACAGCTCTAATGGTTTGTAAAAGAGAACTCCAGAGGTTCGCAAATGCTTCTTTGGGATGGGCGGTGCTCTCATCCTTACCCATTGCAATGCCCATCACAGCTTTCCCAACTCTGACATCCCTTCCCACATAGCAACCAACTGTTCTATTCCCAAGGAACACAACCATGAAGATGAAGCTAAGCGCTATTGTTGTTTTTGCGGCGGCGGCGGTCCTAGTGGATGCCACGCATTTATCGAGTATTAGAACCCCGCGAAACAGAGACGATCGGCAGTGGTTGGATCAAAATGGACATGTTCACCGACAAATTGAGGTCAGTCAAACAGATTGGCCTGTGGGATCCTCCATGGGCCTCTTCTATCAGTGGAAACGCTACGGCCGAAGACTTTCAACCCTCGGAACACGATGCAGACTGGCCGGGTCCGTTGGCCATTGCAGGATCACAACCTTTTGTATTGAATGTCAAGGATTGTGGCCAGGCTTTGACGTATGGCATCTACCCCAAGAGCGGCGACGGCAATCTACAGATACCCATAATTGCGTCACGTACTACCGGACAACAAACCAGTGAAGGTTGTGATGTTGCAGTAGATACGCTTGCACTGCAAATCGATGCAACGAATAAAATGTTCCATGTCGAAATTCTATCCCCGCAAGGCGAGGGGATGGCCGACTATTCTTGGGTTGCTGTGACGAACACTACAGATGTGATCTGGGCCATTTCGGCTACGGAAATGACCTCGTTTGCCACTGGCGTTTACATTTGGGTAGATGGACAGGGGCGCACGCACGTGGTGGGGCTATATGTCGATCCAAAGGAGAGTGTCTGCAACTTTTCAGAAGAAGAAGGAGACGATAGTGGCAATGCAGATATTCTTGCAGGAGAACCTGAGGTTTCTTTGGACGGATCCTCTGTTTTTGCAGCACTTCCTGCGTATACCGTGGAAGCTTTGGAGGATCCTATGTCTCCCCAGTCGTTGGGATTGGCCTGGCTCGAAGAGCATCCCACAGTGGACACCATGGAAGAATGGCGCAAGCGTCAACTCTTTGCCTTGGTGACCTTCTACTATGCACTGAATGGAGACAATTGGCCCGTGTCAGAGAGGGCGAACTATCTATCGTACACAATTCCAGAATGTGAATGGGGAGAGACTGACTATAAGGAAGAGCAAGACCCTGACGTAGATCATTGGGTGTACGAAGCCGAGGGGAATAGCTGCCACGAAGATGGGACATTCCAACGACTACGTTTGTTCAGCTTTGATCCAGACACATCGCCCTTGGTGGGAACGTTGCCCCGAGAGATCGCCTTCTTGGCCCAACTGGAAGAGCTGGAGTTCTAAAGGACTTGGTGGGATGTTTCCGTGACAGACTTGTTCGAAGTTTTGGCCTCTGCCGAACCAAACTTTCTCGATACCCTTCGGTATTTGAAACTTAGTGACAACTTGGCTACAGGCACAATCCCAACGACTATCCACAACATCTACAACTTGGAGGACTTGGACATGTCGCACAACTCGGTGTGGTTAGGACCTTTGTCGGTAACGGGTATGGCGCTCTTTACCTCAGACAGGTATGGACGCTGATGAAGCTCACTCCTTCTCTTGTTTTGTCCTCTTTTTGGCCATTCAGGAACCCTTCCAACTGAGTTTGGTTTGCTTACCACTTTGCAACGTCTAGCCCTTGTCTCCAATGACTTGACAGGTTTGCAGTTGTACTGCACCAAGTTCATGTTTTTTTGTTGTTCAGGTATTGGAATCTCACTTCCTTTGCTTCGTTGCTTGGTTGTCCACAAGGAACTCTGCCAACCGAGTTGATTTTCTTGAGCAACTTGACATACATAAACTTCTACTCAAACGAGCTGACAGGTACGTTTCACTATATTACGGTCCTCAGTGGGAGCTCCTGGTTGCCCTCGACCAATGACAGCGCACAACCACTATGGGGTACAGTCGGCCTAACTACAATGGTGGTTGCCTCACTCTATCCTCAAGGTACAATCCCGACTGAATTTGGGATGCTTACCAGAATGGGAGGCATGTATTTGTCACGAAACATGCTGTCAGGTATGGTTGGTCTGGTTTGTGTGTGTGGTCCGCACTTCTACTTTGTGTCGTATAGCTAAGCAAAGGTGCTGACTCTTTCTTCCTCTCAAGGGACTATCCCATCAGAGCTTGGACTCATGACAGATCTTTATGCACTTGCACTGTGGCAAATGGATGAGATGAGTGGCACTATACCCAGCGAAGTCTGTTCTCTGCCAAATCTATGGGACCTGAGGGTTCCAAGGTTTATAAGTTGCCCGGATGACTGTGGCAAGCCTGATGATATTTTTGACAGCTGCAGCTCCCTCTGAATAGATCGGAGAATGGCAGAGATGGAGGGCAAAATGGTGGAATATGGAGTTGGAGGTCGCAAACAATTGTCTTGCATCGGTATCTCTTAGCTAGCCAGTAAATTTTAGTTCGTAGCTGCTAGAGAATCTTTGCTTGTGATGCATGTTTTGCAGGTATCACACCACGCTTCCTCTTTTGAAAACTGCAGTAGCTCCGGCAGCTGAAGTGTACGTTCATTGGGGTTCAAGGCCTCTTGCACTTGCCAAACGGTCCCCATGTCCCATCACCCCAAAGAAAGAAGAGAGCTTAGGATCGTCCACTTCAGCACCCGAGACCTGTGTGAAAGGATCTCCCCCCCTGGGCCATGAGTCGAGTCGAGTCGTGGCTAGCTGCAACTCATGGGTTGAATGATCAATCGAATCCAGGCGAATCGCGAATCGAATAGTTCGATTGATTGAATCATTCGATTCGATTCGTCTCCACGCGCAACTCAAGAATGTCATGCATGAATGCAAAAGCCGTGATCTGCAGCTCGGAGCCTCCGTGGCCGCGTGGCCACAAAAACAAGAAGGGCCATCACAACCCATCAACATAGCGGTATCGACCTCCTCTACCCTTAGATCGACCGACAGATTGATTCTGCCACCAAGAAGGAGGTACCCTTGTTGAACGACGGTAGCTAGGAGCTACAAATCCAACTAAAAGGGCCGGCACAAGTTGCTTCAGGAGGGTGTAAGAATCATGACCAAAGATGGTACAGCAGCAGTGTCTGCCTATGCTCCCCTGCGACGGAATTCATTCCTGGAGCACCCCCCTCGGACATCGGCTCAACGATTATCCACATTGACGTTGGGCCTGACATTGGTGGTGATTCGCTTTTGGAAAGATGCAAAACTGTGGAAAGAATTGCTCCCCTTGGAATGGCAACGGCTGATGTCCGTGTACTTGCAAAAGTGGCGCCGTGGCTCGGCTCGGTCCATTACCTCCCTTGCACAACAACTCTTGGCAGCCATTCAAGAACAGCTTGCTCCCTTTGTGGAAACATTATCATCACAATCACAATCCTTGCTCATCAGGATGGCAACCAATAATCGCAATAATAATACCCACAACAACAATACCCACAAGAAGACTGGTGGCAACAATAACAACAACAAACCCCCTTCCAGAGGAGCACATGCCAGTTCGGCCAGTCACAGCCAAGATGCCCCCACTTCCATTTTATGTGATGGATCGTCCACACAATTCAGCACACAACATCAGCACAATGACAATTACGAAGATCGCGTCCGCCAAAATCAATCTCTGATTCGAAGAGTCTTGCTCTATTGGTTTGGTCAGTATGATCCAGACACGGCCCAGAAAAAACTCTGGATGATTGCCCATTCGTCTGGGGCCCATCGAGCGGCCGTTGATTCCGAAATTGCCGATTTATTTACGCCACTCCTCTGTGAACTCGCCACAGCAGACAACAACAACAACAACAATACGTCAGACTGTCGGTGGAAACAGTGGTGTGCCGATAAAGACATGTACGGATACCAGGGCAAGTTGGCTGCCATTATTGTTTTGGATCAATTCTCACGACATATTCAACGGCATTATCATCAACAACATAAAGAAAGCACCAACAACAACTTGCCCGCCCAAGATGTCTTGGACAAGTTAGCCCTAAAAACGGCGCAACTATTGACGCAAACGCACCAATCCGAAATCCAATGTGGCATGATCCCACTCCCCCAATACATTTTTGGCTTGATGCCCTATCGACATGCCAGTACATTGGACAGCGTGCAATACGTACAAACTTGTGTTGAACTTTCGGCCAATCTCAATCTGCAGTTGGAAGAAATGACGAGTCGATTTCGAAAGGCTACCAATCGGCGCATGGCAGTCTTGCAAGATGAAGCTCGACGGACGGGCAAGGCAACCGTGCCGGGTAATACTGTACCGGTAGCAGATGACGAAGCCACTGGTACAGATTTGTCATCAGCACGAGACTCCACAGTAGACGACAACACTACACCCAAAAAGTTTAGTGATGAGGACATTCTGGAAACCTTCCCCTTTCAAGCCGACATGTCGGATGCAGCAGACCATCCCGTCGTCAAGACCATTCAAGCCTTTCTTGCCGATAGAGGAATCCAACCCGTGGGAGCGCCAAAGCCACCAGGCAAGAAAAAGGACAATCGCAAAGGTCGGAAGGATGATGGCGACAGCCGACGTGGAAAAGACAGTACAGCGACGGACGATACAGCAACAACAACAACAACCAAAGCCTCTCTCATTGTCAGTCTATCTGGTGGTGTGGACTCAATGGCGATTGCTTCGGTTTTGGCCCATCTTAGAACAGATCTGCATTATCCGCACTTGGAGATTGTCGCCATTCATATTGACTATGCCAATCGACCCGAATCCAAGGCCGAGGCAGAGTTCGTCGAACGCTACTGCCATGAGCTTGGGATTCGATTCGTGGTTCGACGGATTGAAGAAGTTACCCGAGGGATCACGGCAAGGGATGAATATGAACAACGAGCACGGCAGATGCGATATGACATGTATCGAACTGTGGCAGATCAACAAAGACAAAACAGCGACGGAATTGTGGGAGTCATGTTGGGGCATCATCGAGGGGACCTGCGAGAAAATGTCTTGTCGAATGCTCACAAGGGGTGCGGACCGCTGGATTTGTCGGGAATGACGCCGGTTTCTCAGAATGATGGTGTCACAATTTACCGGCCGTTGCTGCCGCTGGAAAAGAAGGCAGTGTACGACTATGCACATCGCTTTGGGGTGCCATACTTCAAAGGTGAGAGTTTTTTGGCAGATGAGACTTTTATTAGGCTATTTGTGCAGCCATGAGTACTGGACAGTATTTCTCACCCTTGCTCTCGTACAAAGATACGACACCTCACTGGTCAACAAGAGGAAAGCTGCGAAACAAACTGCTCCCCTTGTTGGAAGAAATTTATGGTGAAGGTAGCATGAACAATCTGAGTACGTTGGCAACTGAGAGCGATGAATGTCGCAGCTTGCTGCATGCTGTGCTACTGAAGCCCTTCATGGATAGGGTAGTCAGGACTCCAATGGGGATCGTATTTGAAACAGCGCCTTTCATTGAAAGGGGGGAGTTCTTTTGGAAGTTTGTACTCCGAGAGGTACTTCACAGTGCTGGGCTTGGCATGTTCAGCGACAAGAGTGTTCTTTCCTTTCTTGAACGAGTCAATCCCGTACACACAATAAAGCAGACTATCCGAGAAGGTTGGTTACAATGTCGCCGCGATTATGCGGTGTACTTGCAAGCAGACGGCCGTGTGTACGTTTTGTACCCAGATAGCTTTCCTTGGCGGAAACCCGACAGCTACAAATGCTTTGGTCAAAGTAAGTGGACTGGCATGCATCGCTCAGCTGTTTTGCATCTATGTATGGGCAAGGGGGTGCTAACTTTCCGCAACAGCTTATGACCTTTCAGAAACGAAGGCAACTACTGTTGGTCCATGGATTATCGAGGCTGAGCTGTGCCTGGTGGAAAATGAATCTGAAAGGGTTGCCTTGTTGAAGAGAAAGGCAGTGCCGTCAATGGATCATTTCATGGCTGGCTACTTGGAATATTACCTGGAAGTTCCGAACCTGCCAACACTTCCAAACAACAAAGAATCCGCCTTTTCACCCGCCCCTCTCATTTTCAGTTCTTCGTTCGATAGGGCCACTCGCCCTTCTGCCTGGAAGAGCACTGATGATAAGATTCAAGATAACCTCCCATTGCTAGGCAATTCTGCGTCGTCTCAGGGTTCCATGGGCTTGCAAGCTGACAATCCAATGTCACTTGTTCGTATTACATTGGATCGCAGATCTTCATCAAAGGGATCTGTGAAGTAAAGCATTGTACTATGTTGATTTAAGTAGTGTGAAATCTATGGACTTTTAATTTTGCTAGATATATCTCATAACTTAAAGGTAGCTGGTATCACAGATAGCTCGTCACTGGTGCCTTCATAGCAAACACACACACACACGTGTGGTCCTTGACTGTTGACGTCTTGTCAGCAGCCAGATTAGTTCGTCGTCGCTTCCGAGACCGTCAGTTTGGTTTTGCACTTTGCGCTATTGTTCTTGCTCTAGCTAGTAGTTAATCCTAATCATAGTAGCATCCATTGTAGGGCAAGCTCTGGCATGCGGGTATCATACCTTTTCCCTCCTTTGAAGCTGCCTCCATTCAGCTCCGGCAGCTGAATTTTAAAAGTGCACGTTCTCGGGAATCAAGGCTGCCGAAACCTTTCTCTTGCACATGCCAAACGTCCCCATCACTCAAAGAAAACCATGGATCATCCACTTCCGAGACCTTTTCTCGCGGATGTTGCCACGTCATTGATCGGCGGCAACTCCGCTTCGCTGGTCGTATGGCGACCTTGGGAGTCGTATGTACGGAAGCGGTGTTGTGTCAGTCATGCAAGACGGAAGCCCTCACAATTTCTTTGATAGCAGACTTCCTGCTATCGATATCTGTGTGCCACTGCCTCTCTACACTCTGCCAGCAAAATGAATCCTACCATGGAGAACCCAACAAAGCAACCATTGGTCTTCTCCTCAGAGAGCAAGGCTCGATACTGCACAGCAATTCTAACCGGGCCGCCCACTGGAGACGAATCCAGCACTTTGACTCATGGCACACGTCCATCGAACTTGGGGCTGAAACTCGCAGGGGACGCTGTGATTGGTACTGGAGTAACTTTCATGGTTGCTCCTTTCTTGACAATTGTAGACCAAGCTATCACACAAAGGGCATCAGGAACCAACACAATCTTTCGCTCAGGAATGCAATCACTGCAGAAAATGGTAACCAGTCCAATCGCATTTGTCAAGAGCCCTGCCTTTTTATACGTGTGGGCTGTTTATGCAACAACATATTCTGTTGCCAATGGCCTCAAGACATTGGTAGAGCACCAGGAACAAAAATCATCAAGAAAACGAGATGATTCGTCCTCCCTCGGTAAGGCGGCAATCTTCTTGGGCACTTCCGTAACCAACAGCAGTGCTTCCATCCTGAAAGATCGTGCCTTTGCTCAGATGTTCGCCGCCAATGCTGCAACCACCACTGGACTTGCCCGCCAAGTCCCCGTGGCATCCTATGGACTTTGGATGACCCGTGATCTGATTGGTGTTGGTTCGTCATTTGTCCTTCCCGACATGGTGGCCCAACAGCTGCCTTTCGAAGACGAGCAGAGAAATCGGGACATCAGTCAACTCTGTGTCCCCATTGCGACTCAGTTGGTGGCTGGGCCCTTGCATCTGTTGGGGCTGGATCTTTTCAACCGTCCCATGCAAGACATGCCCTGGAAGCACCAGGTGCTCGAACGCTATCACTGTCTTGTGAATGGCTATGGTGCCGTGGTTGGTGCCAGAATAGCGCGCATCATTCCTGGCTATGGCTTCGGTGGTGTCCTCAACACCAAGCTGCGAGATGGTTGGAGAGACTATCTGGTGGAACGAGACACTGCCAATGGTCTGCCTTTCTTCGGGGACAGAGTTTTGGGGATCCCAGATCTCGTTCTAATGACTCTTCACAGTTTAAGCCAAGACCGTTCCGCAACACTCACACTTGTTGCGACAAAATGAAAACAAAGAACAATGTAAACCTACTGACAGTGCCGAAGAGCTCCCCTCGTGCCAATATCTGTAGAAACCCTGGATTGACCCAACCTTCTGAACCTTCTAACATTGGTAGACATGATCACTTTAACTACAAAGCATCCTGACGCCCTCTCACATGTTAGCCCAGGTGGGTAAGCCTGTGCGATAACTGCATCGTTTGCCTTCGTGTCCAATACAGTACTGCAAAGCATGTAGCCAAATCCCCTGGCTTCGAATCAGGAACTCTAGCATGTTGTGTTCCACAATGTCGCGGCCCTGACAACGGGCACACCAAACGCAGGCTCTTTTGATAAAATTCTCGACGGGTTCATCATCCTTTTGCTCTACCTTTGACAGCTGACCAATCTCTTGCTCCGTTGCAGGCACATCAGAAGTGTTCAAATCAATGGGCGTCTTGTGATGTTCTCCCTCGCTATCACCGTCATAGCCCAAAGCAACGCGGGCTTTGGCACAAGCATCCTTGCCAGCCTCATTTCCAAAGAACATGTCCCCACCGTAGTTGGGGTCGTTTGCTAGCGGGTAGTGTGTGAGTGATTGAATGGCATTGGCAACACGAAATCACCAATATATCTTCTATTCACGTACCAATGGCATGACCAAGATGTTGAAGATGAAGTCGAATTTGATGTGTTCTGCCAGTTATGGGTCGACAGAGAACCAAGGTAGAATCTGTTTTCGGGTCGTACTTGATCACCGCAAAGGATGTTTGCGCTGGTTTGACCGTCTTGAGGTAGACGTCTCCCTCCAACTCCTCAAATGCCCCCGCTTCGCACACCCCATTTTTGGGCTGCGAGATCCGAGTGGGACACGCCAGGTGCAACCAGAGCATGTTGGATTGTGGTTTGCCACTTTCATCTTTACTGTTATTGCGAATTGTGTCGACTTGTTGCAAGCACTGGTCCACATTCGGATTCTCCAATTTGGCAAACTGCTCAATGGTCACATTCCCCAACACATTCTCTTCGGCCAAATCCGTCATCCAGTACCCATGAGCATTCCGTTCCTTGGCCACATCCAATGGATCTTCTTCCTCGGGATCTTCGACATTGGACCATTCTCCATCCGTTGGCACGGCACCGGGTTCATTGCTGGCGTGAATGCGATCGACACGCAAGTTGTTCATGGGAAACCTCCCGTGCACACGTGCTAGGTAGTACTTTTGACAGTCTCGTTGTCGTATGCATTGGCTCCATTGTTTGGCCACTTCCGAGGACTTGGCCAGAATCACGAGTCCGCTGGTGAGCCGATCGAGACGATGAATGTTGAAATACTTGGTTCTTCTTTGTCCTTCCAGTATACTGGTCAAGGAGTTGCGGTGATAGCCTCCACAGGGATGAATGGGGAGAGTCCCGGGCTTATCCAAGATGATCAAGTCGTCAGTTTCATCCACGACTTTGATCAATGCTTTGCCGTTGCTGTTGGTGGCCGGTTGTAATGAGTTCTTCTCATCTTGACAGGTGGACGACGGTCCTTCGTGGCAGACGGCAACAGCTGGCTCATGACGATGCACAATGTGTGTCAAAACATCCTTGCCCTGAATTTTGTAGGAAAGATCCACTTTGTTGTCGGAAACCAGGATACGGCCTTGGCGGATTGCTGCTTTGTAGTAACTCTTTTTAGAGTGGAATCGAATCAATCATGCCAATAGATGCAATGCAATGTACGGACACTTGTTTGGGTCAGGAAAAGCAGATACCAAATAGTCTTGCCCTGGCCAATCCAATGGATGGCACACAAAAGCACAAACGTACCTCTGGATAACTTCCAAACTCTGTCACATAAATATCCAACACAGTTCTTCCGATCCATCGTTGCTTGGCAAAGGACGAAAACGTATACGCGTATGGATGGATCACTCGAATGAATTGCTCCGTTGCGCCATCCACACCCAACAAGGGTTGCCCGTTGACTTCCAATCGTTTCACGGTGGTGTCAATTTTCAGATTGTCGTTCGAGTGAATTTCGGATCTCGGTCGTTTGCGGATCCGCTTGGGTCGTTGCCTCTTCGTATTATTATTATTAGTGGTGGACACTGGTACATGTACTACTGGATCTTCCTTATGGATGGACGTCTCGGCATTGTCGGGTTTTGCCACCGGAATTGACTCCTCGGCAGTAGTATTGGTGGCGGCTGGTGCCTCTGCAGCAGAAGCTCCTTCTTTCTCCATGTTCTCGTTACCTCAGCGGTCTCTCTCGTTTACTACGCATGTAGCTCTTCCTTATCACAGAGAGACTTGGAAGGTACTGTACGACTATGAATGATGATGGATGGCTGCGGTTGGCGTTGTTTGACCTCTGCCGATACTGTGAGTTGCGTGAATAGATTTCCTACAATCCTTCGTTGTCAGGAACGACCATACCACGATGACAGCACCGCTTCCCGTCTGCTCAGCGAAGTTAAGCATCGTCGGGCCAGGTTAGTACTACGGTGGGGGACCACGTTGGAATCCCTGGTGTTGTTCTTTTGTTCGTTTGGACCTTGTCATTTACGTTTTGGATGCTGGATGAGGGCCAGTTACAAAGTCCCCGGAGGGATGCTGGATGAGGGAGGGCCAACACAACTGAACAGTACCATTATTTACGTTTTGGATGCTGGATGAGGGCCAGTTACAAAGTCCCCGGAGGGATGCTGGATGAGGGAGGGCCAACACAACTGAACAGTACCACCCATCACAACTTCCTGCTTAGTCACTCACCAAACCGCAACCATGTTTGTCAAAGAAGATTGGCAGGAGTGCTAGCAACCGGGACAAGCGTCGCAGACTGGCTGCAGGTGTTGCCTCTACTACCGGGAGCCAGGGAGTAGCAAACTGAAGGAAGAAGCGGAGTGGATTGGGGTGGTTTGGGCAAGCCGCCGGTTGACATCCTTCAAAGTTTCTCGCTAGCAGCTCGAACGAGACTACAATTGTATTTGTTTGCCATGACTACTATTAGTTTGCAATCATGACCCCATTACTACAATTAGCTACTAATCCGGTACTATCGAGTGCTAGCTACTCTGTCTAGATACCGAGAATGTCTAGTTCGTCATCGGATGCATCAGATTCTGTTGCCGCTGGCGGGGCAGGTACTGACGGTGTCGGTTTCTTCTTCTTTTTCTTTCCCGTTTTTCGGGGTGCTTTTGGTGTTTCTGCCGGTATATCAGCGGTAACCGCCTCCACTTCCTTTTCATTGGCAATCGACTCGACAGTCTCTTCCTCGTCGGCAGCCTCCACACTGCTAGCCTTTTCTTCAACTACTGGAGGTTCCTCTTCTTCTGTTACTGGAGATTCTTCTGCTACTACTGGTGATTCTTCTGGCTGTGATGCACTCTCCTCTTCTTCATCATCGGTACTAGTAGTTTCTTCACCTGCATCGTCGTCTTCAATGCTTTCCACTTCCACCGGATTCTCTTCTTCTTCACTATTATTGTCGTCTGAAGCGGTTGCTTCTTCTTCAGTGCTGCTTTGGTTGTCGGTTGTTGTTTCTTCTTCGGTGGATCCTCCCGCCCGTTCAATGAGTAGTTTGTTGGCGAGTTCTTCGTCTCCTTTGGCTTCTTGTAGAACCTTTCTCCGTTCCGCTCGTGATACAAAGTCGAGTGGTTGTTCATAATCAAAGTAATCATCCACGTCGGCCACTGAAAGGAATGAATCATCAAGAAGTAGACAAAGTAAGTGTGAGAAACAACAGACTTTCGGCACATTCAATCCAATCCAAACACAAATCTATACATGCACGCACCATCTTCCACAATTCGTTCTCGATCCATGACAAAGTTGTCCTTGCCCTTTTCACCACAACTAAAACATCCCAGTCCACCAATTCCGGTAGATCCTTCAAAAAAGAATTCTCTTGTCTTGGCAATGAAAATGGTACTTCCACAATTCTTGCAGGTAAATGCTTTCAAATCTTTTTCTTGTTCCTTACTGGTAATGACATTGTTCCAATTGGGTTGTCGATCCCAGACGGGAATTTTAAAGACATATCGCGCACGATACCATTTGACGCAAAAGGCGACACCAAACCAAAAAAAGGGATTTCGAAAACACCAATCGTATCGGAAACCCGCTAGTAGCGCCAATGCCAAGTACGTTTTGGGATCGTGGACTTTTTTGACAGTCGAACCAAACAGACCGGCCAATTGGACAGGCTCGTCAAGTTGTGTTGCGGGTTGGAGACGTCGTTGAAGACTCTGCCAGCGATGCGAGAGTTTGTGGAGCATTGGCTTGTATTCATGTTCTGGACTACTACTACTGACTTGGTGGTGATGATCATCATGATGGAACAAAGGAGACAGCAGTGCTGGATTGGCGCGTGTAGTATCTATAGCTTTGGATCTCGTGGGAAGAGACGGTCCTGTAAAGCCAGTGGCAGTTGGAACAACCAAAAGAAGAGCCAATGCCAGGCCTGTGGGAAGATACATCATAGTAGCAACAGATAGATACTTGGGAACTGGAGCTGACTAACTAGCTAGTACGAGTAGTTGATAGACAAAGCCAACGATAGAGGATTTGTGTCGAGTTCTTTTGTGAAGCCGAGAGATGATGGATGTTGATGGTCGGTTTGTTGTGTTGTCATCGTCGATCTCCAAAGTTTCACGTGGAAGCCAATGGAGCCATTTCATTGAAGTCCCAGGATATCATTCTCGTGACTGACTGACGTCAGCTTCATTTTTCTTTTTCCTCAAAGAACCAAAGTTGTTGCTGTCTTCAACAATAATAACGAAAATGACAATGATGAAAGAGGAACAACAACAACAACAACAGAAGCCTGTCGTAGTAGATCATGTCGACTCGTCAGTGACAGCTGCGACAGAAGCAACCTCCTCTTCCACAGCATCCATAGACGACGACAGCAGCCATGGTCATTTTGGAAGCACAACACCGCTTCTGCCCTACACGGTCTCGCTGCCACTGCTGGTCGCATTGGACATGATTGGAGTCTCGTTGGTGGTCCCCTTGTTGCACAGTCAGTACTTTCAACTGGCCGGTGTCACCAGTGCCGTCCAGCGCGAATGGTTGTCGTCCATCTTTAGTACCTCCCAAATTGTCGGTGGGTTAGTGTTGGGCACGTTAAGCGATTCGCAGCTGCTATCGAGACGCGCTATTTTATGGCTTAGTTTTGGAGGATCCGCCATGGCATACGGGATGATTGCCCAACAAGGATTGGCCGCCATTTTACTAAGTCGCATTATCGTTGGACTCGTCAAACAAACCATGACCATCACCAGTGCCATCATGGTCTCGGTCACATCCGAGGAGGAACGAGCGACGAATGTAGGAAGGTATGTGTGTGTGTGTGTGGAAAATATTTTGTGTTTCTCCCTCTCTAGAGCTGACTGACTGACCTTAATGTTTGATTTTTTTACATGTATTTGCACACCAGACTGAATGCCAGTTTAACAACGGCTTGGATCATTGGACCCTCTGCTGGCGCATACCTCTTTCACAATGTCGGAACATATGCTCCCATTTACGTATCCTGCTCCATTTTCATACTCAATATTCTCATTGTCTTGTTCTGCATACCAAAAGAACAACAACAAAACTCAGCAGACAACAATACCAAGGAAACAGCAACAACCACAAAAGACAACAATGCTACAGAACAACAACAATCTACCGTACTACAGCGTATCCTTTCCAATTTCAAAGCCTGCTTTCAGTCCAACAATGCCTGTCTGGCTTCCGTCGTTTCGGCGATACTCATCTTTCGATGGGTCCTCAGGGCCACTTCCTACAAGAACATTGCCACCTATTACGAAACACGCTACCAAATGGAACCCTATCAACGTGGATATCTACAATCGTATCAGTCCGTGCTCACATTGGTCGTAGAGTCCCTACTCATTCAACCCATTCTACAACTCCTCGGAGGAGAAGTCCAGGCATCCTGTACCGCAGCTTTGATCATGGCACTGGTGACATTTGCCGAAGCCTCCCATGACATTGTCCATTTGCAACACTATCTCTTCCTCATTTGTCCCATCATGGCCACGGCCATGGCCATTTTGGGAGTCAGTTTGAAATCGGTTCTCTCCAAAGTGGCACCGCAACATTCGCTGGGGTCGGTCTTTGCCACGCTGGACGTACTCTCCAATGCCGTACAAGTTACCGTGCCGTTTTATCGGACGTGGCTCTTTTCCATGACAACGCATCCTACAAATAGTGGAGGAGACCCCGACCCCTACCAGTGGCAATTGGTCTCGGGCGTGCATTGGATGGTGGCCACGCTTGCATTGGCGTACTTGTTGTGGCAAGGGAATCCGTGTGGTGATGCCGCCACTCGTCCGAAGAAGCAACCACCACAAAAGGTCAAGACCAGTTAGGCACTCTAGGTCCACTGCGGAAGGGTGCTCTTGTGGGGGATGTGGTAGGAGAGACGACACGCATTATTGGCAGTCTAGACGATGAGTGCCAACCTGCGCCTCCAATCTACTGTTGCTGTTCCAGCAAGTGGGCGGTGGGGTCCCGTGGGTCCACAAGAATTCAATCTCTATCTTGTGGGAACGCTATCAAAACTGACGATCTGCATACGGTATTCGAACACCAACTCCACCCAACCTGATTGATATTGACAATGGTGATATCGACGGGGATTCCCGTAGATCAGAGGATGTGATTTCCATGTTGTAGCGTTCACTGCCTGGTACCGGTACCATGCACGGGGAAGCAGATATCGTGGGAGTCGAATCCAAAACCGGAGTCGAGTCAATTCAAAAGTTGGGATCCTACACGATCAACTACGACTTGCCTAATTACAACAGGGAGTCGGACACGATGAGTAAACTATACAACTCCAAACCCAGCTTCCTCAAAAAGGTCTTATCCTTTTCGACAACAAGCTCATAATCCTGGTTTGGTGGGCAACTGAAACAGGTCCGCAACAACAAAAGGATTTTTCGACGTGGCTATCTTACTGCCAACGAAACGAACGCAGAAACGACGTCAAGCCACCTTTCTCCCCAACCAGCATTATGGATCAAGTGGCAGCGCTTTCGTCCATGTCCAGCAAGTCTGGTACGAGGCGCATGTCTATCGACGAGCGTCGCAAGTTGCGAAAGCAGAAGAAGAAAAAGGCATCCCGTGTCTCGGAAGATGGATCCATCGTCGTCAAGACCAATTCTGGCGGCAACAACCCGTACTCGGAGATTTCGGATGAACGTTTGGTGCAGTTACTCTCGCGCAACGAGGATGAGCTTCTCAATTTGGTGACATCCATCACCAATCTGTACGAAGACAAGTTGGGCAAGGATGCCCCCTTCATGACTTTTGTTTTGGTGGGAATGCAGTCGACGGGAAAGAGCACTATTGTAGAGCGCTTCATGTCAGCTGTGCTCAACATTGTTCAACAGGACACTGGAACACGCTGCCCGCTCGATATCACTTGCATCCATGATGACTCTTGTAAGGAGCCACGATGTGAGCTTCGAGGTGAAGAGTTGGAGGAACACGAAGCATTGGACTTGAGCATCGAAGAGGTCTTCTATCTCATCAACGAACATACGAAGGCACTTAGTGACAATGACTCCTTCAGCACCAAATCGCTCCGCTTGGTCTACCGGGCGAAGAATGTTCAGAATATGCGCTTCGTAGACACTCCAGGGATAATCACCAACCAAGACGTCGGCAAGAATGATAATCGTGATGCCATCCAGGAGATTTTGCGCTACGAAATGGGCAAAGCCAACACGAAGCTGTGTTTGTTGCTAGAGCCGGCAGAGTTTGCTACAAACAAAATTGTTAGTTTCTGTGATGACACTTTCGGCGCCAGGGAAGATTGGGCCCCTAAAGCAACGAGTATAATGACAAAGTTCGACATGCTGGTGGGTGTTACACCAACTGGAAGCCTCACCAATGCCCGGTTTGCAAAATTCCATGAGAATGGGCTCTATCCTTTCCTGGTCAGCAATCCCTTCCTAAAGATTGAGGATCTGGAGCCAGCGGAGTTGTACAAGGCCCGTGTCGACATGTTAGGTCGTGCCGATGAAGAGGAGGCAAATCTCTTTGGCAAGTGGACGGCTGCCCACAAGAACTTTCGCAAGGAATATCCCACTGATGAGACTCTGGTCGTCGATATTAGCGAAAGGATCAGTTTCAAGGAAGCAAAGAAGCATTTGAGGAAGATCATGTTGGAAGATATCATTGCACGCCTACCAGAGGTCCTTGCGGAACTACGCTATGAGAAGACAAAGCTTGAGAAGGCGCATAAGACACTTCTCGAAAAGAAGAAGTTCAAAAACCCTTCCGAGCTAAAGCACGTGGCGGGAGAGATTCTTTATGAGATTGAACACAAGCTGAACTCCTATCTTGATGGTGACCTCCAAGCCTCTATCAATTTCAGAGACAGATTGCAAACGCTCGACGAAGAAATCGCGGAGGAAGAAGTTTCGGAATGGTCCACGAAGGATCTCAATCACTATACGGAAGACGAAGACGTCTGGCGTGAACGGATTGCTGGCTTTGAGGGTGAATATCCTGAAACTGTCCAACCAGACCAACTCTTCTTAGGAGGAAAGCAGGTCCAGCGAGCTATCAAGTTTTTTGGGCAGGTGATGATTGTTGCTCTCCCCAACCCATTTGAGTTGAAGGAACTTGTACCCAATTCAACTGGTTTCTTGGGCGGTGGTCTCAACCGTGAAAATTGGGAAAGAGCCATGGTGCAAGTTGTCCAAGTTTGTGTGCGTCAGACCTGTCACCCAGGCATCAACTACTTGATAAAGCATGTCGGTTGTATCTTTCGCAATCTCTTTTACATGGCGCTGGAGGATGTCAAGCACGGGGAGAGACTCTCTGATACGTTCAAGTTGCTACCCACGTCATTGGAGAAGCTCTTTTTGAAGGAGTTCGACGCCATGCTTTGGGGTCTGATGCAGAAGGCGGCCGATAAGACCCACTGTTCCCTCGAACCCATGGTAAGAACCGCTGGTTGCTGCTGCTGCTTTTTTTGTTTTGTTTTTTTGCGTTCGTATGAACCTGACAAAACGACCGATGTTTGTTGTTTGTTGTTTGTTGTCAGTACGAAACCATTGATCCCGAACTACCCACTTTTCACGCTCTTCGCCTTGGCTCGACCCCCGAAGAAGGTCTCTTTAAACCTGACGGCAATGGTGGATACGTGGAAGTACTCAGCGATGAAGAGTCAACCAAATCGACTTGGATTGAACAGGCCAGAGAGAAGTTGTCGAGCATGCTGAGTCTCAGCGGGGACGATGCTAAGGAGTTCCTGCTGAAGGAAAGCTTATCCAGGGCCAGAAGTAAGAGATGCTTTCTTCCGGAAGAGCGCACATCCATGGTCACTGAGGAGGAAACAGACATGATCCTTCGTCGTGCTTACGAGTACATGGTGGCGCTTATGGAATTCAATCTCGTGATTCTTCGCTTTCAGCTAAACTCGTTTCTTTTCAAAGGCTTCAAGAAGGAGCTCGGCAAGAGTTTCAAGGGTAAGCTGATGGACGAAGCAGACTGGAAGACACTGGTTCAGCCAGACCCAGAATTGGAAAAGGCATTGGTTGAGGTAGAGGAACAAATTGAAGGCGTGGACAACTCTTTGCAGCAAGTAGAAACGTTGCAGCGCAGACTTTGAATTGAAGCTACCCGTTGTCAAATTATGCCATTCGGCAACTACATGCGTTTTCTCTTTTGAAACAGACGAATTCGTATCATCTACGACTACCTTCTTCAGCCGGCTATCCGGCTGTATCCATTGCGCTGGTCGCTGTTGTACTCATAAGGCTATGATCGATGAGCCGAGAAAAGGGTTCTGGGTCTAGCAAGATCAGCAATCACTCTATGTATGGGTTGGATCGTGGCGGATGACAGAGGTAGCACTTCGACACTTCCGGTAGGACTAGTTTTCGGAACACAAGATACTAATCATTAAAGGAAAATGTATTCTATGGAATGCCAACCTACGATATCTTGACGGCGATTGTTTTCCCCTGGAGCACTGGAGCAGTCTGTTCTGCACTCTTATTCCAGCCCAGCAGAAGCCCCCCAAATTGTGATAGCAGCCACAATCAGACTGGGTACTAGCAAAGGCCACATGGCAGCCCCGGCTGATTCAGTTTCATACTCTTCGTATGTTTTGAAGTATTGACTCTCTACATGAAAGGCAGCCTCAACTTCTCCTGCAGGGGGTTCCTCTTGTTGCAGCTCCCGGCGACGAATGATCCCATCTTCAGCTGGTGAGTGCACAGTCATTCGAACCAAAAATCTTCGATCCTCCAGCCTGAGTTTAATAGCTCCAAATCCTGTGAGTGCAACAGCACTGTACTCAAAGTAGTTGGCATCGAGAAGGAAATTCACCAGGCAGGTGTGTATGTTCGGATTTGAAGGCGTGTATTCACAGTACTTCTCTGCAAAGTATGTATTGGCCACCTGTGAGCTTGCGATCATGTGCTGAGGCTCTTGGGTCCCACCGGCATTAGCAATGTAGAGCTCCATGATGTCTTCTACCTCAAAGATCATTCCATCAATCACATTGAAGCAAACACTGATGAAATTATCTTGCGTGATGACAGTTCCACCTTCTAGAGCTTCATGGGTGATTGGATTGCAAAAGTAGGCATTCAGTTCCCCAGGTCCTACCGAGTAGCTGAAGTTGTATGCATCCAGAAACTCCTGTTCAGCTTCCACTTGCATGCCCAGGTCCATGCCCAGGCCCATGCCACCGCTGTTGATTTCATCGTGTGGGGAAGATTGCCCTTCCTCATCATCCTCGTCCTCGCCCATCCCCTTGGTATATCCAATTGGGACAAAGACATCTAGCTCATCCCAACTGACCATGAACCCATCAGTGTACAAGGACACCTGCACACAGAACTCCATCTCTGCATATGATTCATTGAAGCGAGTGTAGATGATGGGATTCTGCTCAAGCTCTTCATTAAAGTCCCACTCAATGATGCTCCCATTACCAATGCCATTGGGCTCCATGACTTTTGATGCATCGTATGTAATGCCAACAACTGGGGTGGCCATGGCAGATGGATAGACCACCCCGAGTTCTGTTTGGGGATCTGACGTTGCGAATCTACAGACATCATAGATTCTAACCTCAACTTTGTTTGTGAATCCTTCAGCACCGCTACCTGTATTAAAGTGGATTTGACTAGCATTGGCCAATGTGATTCTCACGGCAATGGCGGGCACTGTGCAAAGGGACAACAATTGAGGAAGGTCGCAGATGTTGCATGATACACCACACTAGCTGCATGGTTGATTCAGGATGCTTACTTACCCTCCAGTTGAGCCATGGCTCGTTGCAGGAAGCAACAGATGTTCAGGCCAAGAAGAACTATTGCCTTGTTGGCTTTCATCATGTTTGTGTTGGTTCACAAAATATAGGGTGAAATGTGGTTTACTATGTGGTGAAAAAGGACTATGTGTGGGAAAAATGGACTCCAGACCTCCAGACTCCAGAGGTCGAGAGTTTAACTAAAGTGATAAGCGCAAAGGATGCTGAACCTATTCCCGTCTCACCGGGCATGACGGTTGCTTTCCACCGTGGATCATGGTAATACCGCAGGAGACACGGGTAAAAAGTAAGTTTCTCCCAAGGTTCTCTCCCACCGAACGTTTCCACCACACCGGGTCTCGGACTCCACCTTCTAAATCTCCGATTCATGGATACTTTGCTTCAAAAGAATACTAGTACTAGCTAGTACTCTAGCTAGTAAGCGAGAACCACGAAAAAGACAGAACACGGAGAATTTTGAAGAAGGCTGAAAGTATCGTTCCCAACAGCACTGAAAGCGTCACCTTTTAAAATACTAAGGTGTTCGGGGGTTTAGAGTAGGGAAATTAAATACTCTTTTGGCCACAAACAGAAGCCCCATGCTCGTCTTCAAGTCTCGACCTCATACACCCAAAAGGTTGGTATTCCCAGTCAATTGATCACCCAACAAAGGAACGAACGATGGACATCAGCCAAGGTTCGACGATCGACAAGCTCAAGTCGATCGATCGACAGTCTCAGTCCAGTCGAACGATTATTTCGTATCAGGGTAAACTGATTGTCACGTCTGTAGCCATGTCTCATTCATTTGTCTCTATGGACCAGCATGTCTCTATCGGGACCGTCAACTGGCTGCTTTTGCCTGTCCCGAATGTGTTGGCATCAAAAATTGAGGTCGCGCCTCCGCGCCTCTGCCATACATGTACGGTACGGTACTGCCAATCGAAGCGAAGCGGAAGAATCAATCGAATGTCGAAGTAGAACACAACGGGGGGTTTAGAGTAGGGAAGTTAACCAATCATTCAATGAAGCCGCCCCCCACAACCTGTTGATCCATGGAAGGCTGTGTTGGCTGGGTCTGTTGGTTGGAATTCTTGCTGCTTGTCGGCCACTCAAAAAAAGCCATCGTATGTTGCAGTATCGTGTTGGCTAGTAGTAGGCGGTAAGGGTGGCCTATGAGTGGACTATGGGAAGAAGATGGCTTTCCGATGGCTGTTGCAGTGCCGAAGAAGAAGCCATAACGAAGCCAAGGCTTTGATTCTTGGAGGCGACGTCTATGGAAATGGACTCCGGGGGTGGAGTGCAAGACGGACAGCCAAGAAGAGCAGACCAGCCAACGGAGGAAGGGTGGCAAGGAATGAGGTCAGTCGGTGAAAGGAGAAGGGATCAACGGGCAAAGACTATAGCGGTAGGGAACAAGAGGGCCACAATCGTCCCAATCGTAGTGGCTGGAGCTGGAACCCAGTCTTATTTCCAAAGTACTGGTCGCCTGATTTTTGCGGGGAAGTCCCATGGTGATGAACACAAGATACTAATGGTTGAATGGAACGTATTCTATGGATTGCTGAAAGATCTTGACACAATTTTTTTTCAGCGGAGCATGCTGTGTTCTTCACTCTTGCTTACTCCAACAATGCAGAGGCTCCCCAAATGGTGATAGTAGCCACAATCAGACTGGGTACTAGCAAATGCCACATGGCAGCCCCGGCTGATTGAGTTTCAGACTCATCATATGTTTTGAAGTATTGATTCTCTACATGAAAGGCAGCCTCAACTTCTCCTGCAGGGGGTGGTTCCTCTTGTTGCAGTTCCCGACGACAAATGGTTCCATCTTCTGCTGGCGAGTGCACAGTCATTCGAACCAAAAATCTTCGATCCTCCAGCCTAAGTTTGATGGCTCCGAATCCTGTGAGTGAAACAGCTCTGTAGTCAAAGAAGTTTGCATTGAGAAGGAAATTCACCAGGCATGTGTGTATGTTTGGATTTGAAGGCATGTATTCACAGTACTTCTCTGCAAAGTATGTATTGGCCACCTGTGAGCTTGCGATCATGTGCTGAGGCTCTTGGGTCCCACCGGCATTAGCAATGTAGAGCTCCATGATGTCTTCTACCTCAAAGATCATTCCATCAATCACATTGAAGCAAACACTGATGATGTTACCTTGCGTGATGACAGTTCCACCTTCTAGAGCTTCATGGGTGATTGGATTGCAAAAGTAGGCATTCAGTTCCCCAGGTCCTACCGAGTAGCTGAAGTTGTATGCATCCAGAAAGTCCATTTCTGCTCCCACTCGAATACCCAGGTCCATGCCACTGTAGATTTCAGGAACCATGCAAAAGATTGATGAGTTCGAAAGCCAACAAGTGCAGCCAATGTAGATCAACACAAAAACCTTACCCTTCATCATCGTCCTCGCCCATCCCCTTGGTATATCCAATTGGGACAAAGACATCTAGCTCATCCCAACTGACCATGAACCCATCAGTGTACAAGGACACCTGCACACAGAACTCCATCTCTGCGTACGATTCATTGAAGCGAGTGTAGACGATTGGGTTCTGCTCGAGCTCTTCATTAAAGTTCCACTCAATGATGCTCCCATTACCAATGCCATTGGGATCTACAACTTTTGATGCATCGTATGTAATGCCCACAACCGGGGTGGCCATGGTAGATGGATACACCACCCCAAGCTCTGTTTGGGGATCTGATGTTGCGAATCTACAGACATCGTAGATTCTCACCTCGACTTTGTTTGTGAATCCTTCGACGCCGTTACCTGTATTAAAGTGGATTTGACTAGCATTGGCCAATGTGATTCTCACGGCAATGTCGGGAACTGTACAAAGGGACAAACTTGAGTAAGACCAGATGTTGCAGGATTTACCAGCATGGTGGATTCAGGATGAATGCTTACCCTCCAGTTGAGCTACAGCTGGTTGCAGAAAGCAACAGAGGCTCAGGCCAAGATGAACTAGTGCCTTGGTGGCTTTCATCGTCATGGTTGTCTTTTGCAAATGGTTTTCTTTACCACAAAAATGATGAAGAGCGTGCATGTTGATGGACGCCTCACAGGAGAATGCTTGGTTGCCGTCCACCGTAGATCTCTTCAAAGCAAAAGTTCCGTTACCGTAAAAAGAACGTCACTGTTGATCTTCAGCTTCTTTTTACTCCCCCGACTTCTTGGGTCAGGTTTCAGGAGTAACGAGGCCTCGAGTTTTGGACCACCATGATGACCCTCCATCCACAGCCAAACTGGACTAACACTACAATTCGATTTTCACTTGTCATTGTCATAAGTTTATTCCTGTTCACTGGATAGGCGCAGTCATCTCCGAGCTCACTTGCTTTTTACTTGTGTTTGACTTGTGTTGCTTTGCTGTGGCCAAATAGCTGCAAGTAAAGCGAAGACGGCAACGCTTCGCAAATAATCGCCACCATGGTCAACACCGACACCTCTCAAGAGCAAGAATGCCCAAATGTGTGGGAAGACGCATACGAAGACTGGTATGCCTTGGATGGCGATGACGACGAGCAGGTCGGGTCTTCCCAAATTCCCAATAGCAGCAGCGCCACAAAGCGGACAAGAGACGCGGAGGCAGCTGATCCCACGGCGCACAGCGTCTCATCCTTTACCGAAGAACCATGTTTCTGGTGCGATGACTTTGATGATGGTGACGCAACAACCAAGACAAAGAGTACACGCGCCACCAGCTCGACAACTGCAAGCTCCCGTCTTCCTTACCCTCGAAGGATTCCACAAAAGCACTTTCTAAGGGAGAAGCACTTGCAACGGTCATGTTCCCACAGCTTTCTCTGGGCAGTCCAGGGCTTCTTACTCTTCAATTTGATTCTGGGCTTGCTCTTCAATCCCCAGAAAGGACATGCACCTCCCGTGCATTATTTCATTCGATGGCCACTGGAGACACCTCCACCGTTGCCGGTAGTGACACCCGCGCCGGGAAACAATACAGGCTACCCTCTGCGCCCTCTCACTACGGATGACTTGGGCCCCTTGCCCGGGTACACACTGGAAGCGCTCAAAGACGAATTTAAATCGCCCCAAAGTTTGGCGTTTCACTGGCTACAAGCTGACCACAATTGGAACACGTACTCGGTGGGTCGCCTCCGCCAGAGGTTCGCCTTGGCAGTGCTGTATTTCTCGACGAACCCTCCGTTCCAGCACACCTGGACTAGAACCGGGGATTGGCTATCTTATGAGACTCACGAATGCGAATGGATGATGTTCATGGTGGATTCTGGGAAGAACCACCTGAAACCGATGAATCTCTGTACTGTCGATTCTGACGATGATCGTCATGTCGACGACAACGGCAGGACGAACGCCACTTCAATCAACTACGAAGCAGTACGTCGATTACACTTGAGCAACAACAATCTGGTCGGACACCTGCCACCGGAAGTAGACCTGCTGTCATCCTTGACGGATCTTCGCGTGAATGACAATCGTTTGTCCGGGCAGGTTCCAGACGAATGGGGGTTTACCCAGGAACTTCCGGATGGTGGTGGTTTCCAGCCTCCATTGTGGTTTCGGCTGCATACATTGCATCTACAAAACAATGACGGGTTGTTGGGCGACCTTCCCTCGAACCGGTGTTCCATTGATGACTTGAAATACGACTGTGCCAAGGATGATGACAGGACAGGTGGCGGGCTTTGCGGGTGTGGGTGTCGTTGCTAGCTAAGATAACTATCAAGCGACACAGTTACTGTAGTCCTCCTCCCTGAGCATCATCGCGTTCAAGGTACATGTAACAAGCCAGTTGAAATTGAACTTTTCCCTGTTTCCCCTTGATTGATAAGTTAGACGTGAAAGGTCCACCTCCAAAAGGGTTGTAGGATTCAACGACAGCACTGCTTTCACTGACAACAGCAGGTATAGAGAAGCATCCGCACAGTTGGTGGATTGAATACGAAGTGCTTTAGAAGCCCCTGCTTCGGCAAACTCCAAGGCTCCAGTATTGGTACCTAACCATGCCATCATAGACACAAATATCCTTCTGGCCCCAACTGTTTTAAAACTCGAAACGTCCTTGAAGGATTGGATGGCAATCTGCTTTCCAGGTCCAAGCTTACATCCAGCTTGGAGCCGACCTTCTATGAGTTACTGCGTACTTGCCCATCTAGCTTCAACAAGGTCCGGTGTTTAAAGGATGAAATGATTCATGGCAACATTCGTCTGCCCACTAACGTTTGGAGGTTTGATTAGAAACACTTCGATAGAGAAGGACCTTTGCATGTTATACCATTATCTATGCAATCACAACAGAAATCACAGGTTCCCATCCAGGACAGAGCAAACAGGCATTCCCTGACCAACCAGACAAGACACCATGTGTCATGTCATGTCCCAGAAAACTGAGCACACCCTTGCCTTCGAACCCCCTTCGTCGCGTCGGGACAACATACAAACTGCCCAGCGGTGGCAAGCTTATTGTTGTTGTCGTCATCACGTTTTCTGTCTCACGTCCTGCATGCATGCATCGCATCGCATCGCATCCATCCAAAACTCAATCTCCACTTTTGTTGTTATGCATCATGTCACAAGCGTCGTTTCATTGTTCCAAAATTGCGGATGCAGTTTGATATAGGAGAATTCGTAGTATTTGCCATCACCGAATCCATTGACTTCCTTGCTGTACATGGCAAAGCCATTGCGTTTGAAGGACGTGAAAAAGTCAATTCCATGATCCCACTCTTTGGGCAATTCGTGTGTTTCAATCAGTACTTGTCGCATATGTGGATGCGCAATCCAATCCTTGTAGGAATCCCATTCGCATCCTTCGCAGTCAATTTTGAATATATCAATGACCCGATTTTCGTGTCCCAACTTTTGGAGTATTTGTGGAAAACTGGCAAATTCGCCTCGGGCGCGATTCTGTTGCGAGCCTTGTAATCCGAGTTGATGAAAGTGCATATTGCGGGGGGCATTTTCGGGTCGATTGTAGTCTCGCGAATAGTCGAAAATGTGAATTTCACAGGCTTTGCTGGTGCCCAGATAATTGACCAGGCCATCTTCGAATTCGTAATTGCCATTGCTCCCCACAGAATAAATCAAACAGCCGTGTCCTTGTTCTTCTTGTCGTCGTTTGGCGACCGTCACGAGTCGATGGGGATCGCAGACCTACAAAAAAAGGAATAGAAAAAAGTTAGAAACACTTGTAGAAGAGGGTTCCAAATGAGTGTTGTTTGTGTGTTTTTATGTGTTTCTTTCGTACATATTTGGGTCCATCTCCTACACCCCACACGCGCTTGACTTGAGGACAGCTAAAGACGGGGTTAAAGCTGTTGTAGTACCAGAGTGCTGGATTCCCGTAGTGTCGTCTGGGATTGAACATATAGCGATGGTCAATCTGTGTCAATGCCCATTGTTGATGACGTTGCCAATCCACCAAGGGAATATCGTCAAAGTACCCGTACGAATCGTGAAATGCCTTGGCAAAGATATTATTGTTTGTGTTTGTCGTGTCCGTAGTAGTAGTAATTTTCTTCGTTGTTGTTGTGCTTGTGCTTGTGCTTGTGACGGCAGTTGTGACATTCTTGGCACTCGCCGGAGCTCCAAAGCCCTCAAAGGTCCCTCGGTACTTGCGAACATTATAGCCAACCAAGCACACCAACAGAATCAACATTCCATAGCGACTGCTGGACTTGGAACCTGCAGAAGATGAAGATTCCTTTTTTCTTCGAGACGCCCTCGTCAGCAGATCCTTTGCCATGGCTGTGTTGGTGATAATTAATCAGGATCGACTAGACTATGATGAGTGTTGTCAAAGAAATGAAACTGAATGTGTTGGTGGAAGGCTGGATATCTGAAAGATACCGTTCGGAAGCCAAGATTTCAAAATTTGGAGGCCAATTTCAGGGTCATTTTCTCAATTTCAAAATGTCAAAAGTCATCTTTCGTTCAAGTTGCTTCAGTCATGATCAGGACTGGTGGCATAAGCAGGATTTTGCCTACCATAATCTATGCCCCCCCCATAGAGTAGCATTGCCAAATCCTCATGGGAGGGGTACCCCTCCCCCAAAGGGGGTACCCTCCCCTAAATCTTGCAGAGTCTAGAAAATCCGTGATGCAACCTACTAGCAAATTAAAATGGATGATGTCCAATGGCTTTAGAGCTTCTGCAGGCTGTGGACGGGTAAGGTTATACAGTGGATGTTTGACCCAAGCCTTCAAGATACTGGAGCGTGCCTCATTCTGGAATCCCGGATTTAGGGTAGGGTTTCGAAATAGGGTAGAGTTTGAAACTCTGCCCTAAATAATAGGGTAGAGTTTGAAACTCTGCCCTAAGTGGCAGAGTTTCAAACTTAGGGCAGAGTTTCAAACTCTACCCTCAATCGAAAAAACGGGACTGCGGGGTAAACACTATGAATCCGGCCAAGATTTAGGGCAGAGTTTGAAAGCCTGCCCTATTTTAGGGTAGAGTTTTGAAACCATGCCCTAAATTATTCTTGCTGGCACAGTGCATTTGTGCTTGGGAACCTACCCCCCATTTTCCGGTACTAATCTTCGTGATCGAATCTTGCTAGAGCTGCTTCAGCCTCAAGAACTTGAAGACCACTGTGGAGAGCTCGATTATGCATTCTTCATTGCAGTGGATAGAGGCCACTTGGGAATGTTTGGTCAGCCCACGAGGGATCTTCCTGAGGGTGATCGTGTTGAAGAAATGTGTGGACCTGTCTTCTTCCACCAAATGGACCCTGCCACCAAGGTAGTTGAACAATCCAGCATGGATAAATTCCCTCGTGGTGCCCTCTACCCCCTGGAAAACCACAAGATGAGTGACATCTTGGAGGCTTTTGATTATATGCCAGTGTCAGATGCTGAGTATGACATCATCACAAACCATTGTGCTTTGTTGGTCCTCCATATGATGTGCTCTTTGGAGATTCCTGTTATCCAGGAAATGAAAGATTGGGTTGCTGATGAGCTCATGCGAAGGGACACCCATGACCTCATTATGTCCCTTGCCCAAAACAGTACCAACTTTGAGTTGCTTGTGCACTACGCTAAAAGCTAGTGTAAAGATCTTTCGAGTGTTTTGAGTTTGAGAGAATGAAGTTATGAGAGGATTAGAAAGCTATGAAAACTAATCAACGAGAGAGATCCACACCAAAGGATCGTAGATCTGAACTCCCGCGGGAGACTGTAGAGTGTGATAGAGTAGGTTGCGGTAGCAATCCTACTCACTCCACGATCCAAAAACGGAACGCGTGGAAGATTCGTCTGGCATTTATCTAGTAGCGTGGAAGTGCTCCACGCTGGCTAAATATCTAGAGCGATGTTTCATCATCAACCTAGTATGACTAGAGCGGTCATTGAGAACCCTGTCTCAATGACTATTCACGAAAGACTCAGTCATGAGTCGAACTCAAACCCTATCTAGGATCGAGTCGCGAATAAGGCTAAGAGCCGTGTATTGCATTCGCCCCCTGACAAGGGTCACGGAAGGCACGACATCAGTCGGACGAGGAGAACATATGAATTAAAGTGCGGGGCACTCTCCGGAGATTGGATGTAGACATGTGCGTCGCACGATGGCAATCCTACAAGGGGATCAGGCCTTGTATGGGTGTAAATACCTTATGTTCCAAGTCTGTAACTGTGCCGCTATGGCGGTTGTATGTCGGAGCCGTACAGTGCCATTGTTATTGACTCGGTCTGTGTGGTAGGACCTTGTGCGTTGGCTGACCGTACTAACGTTTTGATACTGATGAATCATCATAGTATCGTTGACATGTGTTGATGAGGGACACGTGTCGTGTTCTCCTTATTGGTGTTTTTCTGGATAAGTCGTGGCGACGTTCCTCGATGTATTTCCGGTTTGCTTTTGAAACGGATGTGGTGAGTCTTGTCACGATTGACGCGCTGAACTTGCGACGAAGTCCATGTTCATCCCGGAGAGTCTTCTCGACTCTGCGCGGGACTCACGTTCTCTGTCCATGACAACGGTCATGGATACTGGGTAACCCACCTGTTTCAGAACGATGGTTACTCCGTCTGCTGTCTGGAGCGCCTTGGTAGTTCATTGGTCCAATGAATCTACGAAGTTCCTTCCTGTTGGTAGGAAGAGCGATAGCTGGATCGCATCTTTTATCTTTTTGGTTAAGGGTTGGCTTCCTTCTCGGTAGTCCAATTGTCTAGATACTCCAGTTCTTCCTTTCGAGGAGGCCTTGTGTATTTGATTTCAATCCCGACTTCTTGAAGTCTTTGGAAAGGTCATCTACATTCAACGCGATCGCTAGATCGAGTCCGTTAGGATATTGATCATCAATGTATGCCGGACATTTTCTAAGTCATGCATGCGTGTTTCCATCTTCTTTGGAAGATGTCGGGACTATTATAGGCCCATTGGCAACCTCTGGTACTCGTGCTTTCCCTTCGGGAGTGCAATGGTACAGTGTTGCTTCGAGTGAGGTGACAGCTCGATGTGGTAGTGTCCGTGTTCAGGTCTAGACAAGTAGCGCACTTGAATCCATCTAGGTTCAAGAGCATGTCCTGTATTTTTGGGATAGGATAAGGCTTCTGCTTGATCCGTTTGTTCGGTTCCCGAGTATCAGAGATGGATCGTACAGATCCTTCTTTCTTGGGAATGATAAAAGTTGGTGCCACCCACTTGGAACGATTCACCTTCTTGAGTACTCCTGCCTCGCAGAGACGTTCAACTCCTTCTTAAGAGTGTTGGTATGGACCGTGGATAGGGTGAGCCCTAGTATAATAAGGATTTAGCGTCGGGACGAAGTTCTACTTCGTAGTCGTCCATTCGCAACTCTCCCAAAGTATCCTCGACTGGGTCGAAGCACTTGGTTGAAAAGGCATGAGGCAGTTCTTGCTCTTCCTTATTTAACTGGTTTCGACTCTGGCACATCTGCCTTAAATCTATTCGTTCGTATGTTGTATCAAGAATCTTCTTGAGACTATCTGCATTATCGCTGACAGCTGCAGGATCGGAATGGAGAAGTTCTCCTTTCTATTGGTATTGCCATCTTTCGCCGGAAAAATGCGTGGTTCCCCCCAATGACATGGTAGTGAAATCAAACTTGATTCTTAGGTCGCCGAGAGTGTCTTGACCTATGATCACGTCTTGCGCCCCCAAGTTCTTGGTGACGTGTAAATTCCATTTGATAATTCTATCATCGTGGAACTCAGGATCGCGAGTGTGCCCTTATACTTCGTGCGGGGTTTCATTCCTTCTAGAAGCAGTCCGTAGTGTTTGGACCCCCATGATTCTTCATGAGTAAACTCTTAGCATGAGTTTGAGTAATTAAAATCCCGGATGCTTCTGTATCCAGTAAGCAACAGAGTGTAACGGGTTTTTGTTCCCTTTTGCTCGTCTGTTAAATCTAACATAGACGATAGTTTCGAGGTCTCTTGTCTTGCGACGTTGACGAGTTGATTGGCCATGGACGAAGTTAACGATGCTGAACAGATCGTCAGTGTCTAGTTGAGTAGTCGCTAGGCAATTATCTAATTTGCCGTAGACTTCGTTAGTTGCAAACAATCTTGTTTACTATTTAGTGAGATATCTTCATCACTTAGGTATGAGAAATCGGAACATGGTTCCGTTGAATCATCATCCTGGCCTAATCCTCAGACAGAGATCTCTCCATCCGAATGATTGAAGTCGAATTCGGCAAGTGCCTTGTCGACAGCAGCCATCTTCTTGTCCATCATGTTGATGGATCCAACAGAGGAGTCGTCCTCGTTGTCGGAGTTGTCCGACTTGCGCTTGGCAACATGGTTGCATTCGCTTTTCTTCTTGCGATCAGCCTTGACCGCGGCGTTGGAAACTTTCTTCATGAGGACAGAGAGTTCCTTCTTGGTGTAGGTCTTGGCGTCGTCGGACTTGCGTTTCCAAGTCTTGTTCTTTGTTGTACGCTGGCTTGTTATTCGTTGTCAGACGAGGACTGAACTTGGCCTTGAGCTTCTTCAGAGTCATACAGTCAGCAGTGTTGTGAGTGCTGGACTCGTGGTAGTCACACCATTTTTCTTCGTTCTTGGAAGAGTGATCGTTGTTGCGAGTAGACTTGTACTTCTTGCTGGTGTTTCTTCTTCGAAGGAGCTTGCTGATCACCGCCCTTGTCAAAGTCTTCGGAGGATTCCATGCGTTCGCAGAATCCAATGGTTTCTCGATAGGAGCTGAGAAAGGATCGAAGTCGTGTTCGTCATCTTCTTCATCCACGAAGTGGAATTCCATGACAAACAATGTCAATGACTTCGTCATGGTTCAACGTTTGGTGGTCCAAAAGGTGGTAGACGAGGAAGTTCTATCGGTTCACCGCTGAGGTTGTTGAACAAAGCCGAGTAGAATATACGCAGGCTTACGCATCTTGCGGGCGCATGAAGCGTTTCTGCTTTTCAAGAGCCTGTAGGGACAGACCGGTTCGACACAGGCATTTATGGCCGAACGTAATGTCAGAGTCGTCCAAAGCAGGCTGGCTGCTCCGTCCCAGGCATTCTGGAAACAGTGGCTTGGAAAGTGGCTTCGTCTTCACCACACACGTATGTCGCGTGGAGGATTGCCGTTGACTGCAATCTGGCGCAAGGCATTCCAACTTATTCACGGTGGCCTGCACAGCTAGATATCGTAACTGACCTCTTGCAGTGCTAGAAGTTCATCTCCTTGAGGAGGTATGTTTATCGTCAGGCGTAGCAATTGGCGAGTCCAACGAAGCCTTCCTCCATCGTCCAGCCAACTTGATGGTCTGACGTGAGTCTCAGATCCATTGATGATTGTGACCTTGAAGGTGTACTTGCGCTGTTGGCATCTGCTGGAACAGTGCGAAGTTTGTAGGTGTGTAGAGCGAGAATCGTCGATTTCGCTTTCATCGTCGAGGTCGATGAGAGGAAAGATTGGTTTGTCGCGCAGCTTAGACTCGAAGCTGGTGTAAGCGTCTTGCAATCTTCATGTGAGGAATGTTGAGGGTACTGAAAGCTATTGTGTTTGTTAACAAAATGCACTACGCTAAAAGCTAGTGTAAAGATCTTTCGAGTGTTTTGAGTTTGAGAGAATGAAAGTTATGAGAGGATTAGAAAGCTATGAAAACTAATCAACGAGAGAGATCCACAACCAAAGGATCGTAGATCTGAACTCCCGCGGGAGACTGTAGAGTGTGATAGAGTAGGTTGCGGTAGCAATCCTACTCACTCCACGATCCAAAAAACGGAACGCGTGGAAGATTCGTCTGCATTTATCTAGTAGCGTGGAAGTGCTCCACGCTGGCTAAATATCTAGAGCGATGTTTCATCATCAACCTAGTATGACTAGAGCGGTCATTGAGAACCCTGTCTCAATGACTATTCACGACTCAGTCATGAGTCGAACTCAAACCCTATCTAGGATCGAGTCGCGAATAAGGCTAAGAGCCGTGTATTGCACTTGGAATGACCCACAACGCGTCTACAACAACTACCATTCGTACTTTGGTTGCATATGATGCTGCCATGTTCTACTGTACGGCTACAGATGTAAAACAGCAAATTGAGTGCTCTGGTGCAAGCAAAGTGTTTGGCTTTTTGGCTTTTTCTCTTCTTGGTGCTGTCACTGGTTTCATTGATGTCTGAGGTGATTATGTTCTTGAATTGGTGATGCATTGGTAGAGGGAAATATGAGATATGTAGCTACATTGATTGTATTTTTGGTCTGCTTTGTTAGCTAGCTATCTGGCGATCACGTTGTTTCAGGAGCCACTCAAATGCTCCACTCAACAGTCACTGACTGGAAGGATAACCGTTTTGTTGTGCTTTGGTGAATCCAACTACATGCAACTGGCTTCTAAAGTTCAGTCACCTTTTGCTAAAATCGTACCGGTATGGTCCCACCGCTGCTCTTCTCATGCCCCAATGCGGAGCCGTGGCAAGGACGCGATGGTACGGTACGGTGGTACCTGGTACCGGTTGCCGTACGGTACGCGTCTGGCTGTGGCCTTGGAGGTGGTGAGAGGATTGGGATGGAGCGAGGTTTGGGATGGTGTGGGATTAGTCCATGGCACATCTCCACAGACCTCTTCTCTTCTCTTCGCCTACACATCTCGGTACGTATCCTCCTCCTTCCGTCGGTCCATCATCTTGAGCCGTCGATCTTGTTGAGCAAGATTGACCGAGATTGACTGAAGATTGACCGGAAGACTGACCAAGATTGGCGAGATCCAGACCAAGATCCAGCCTCCACGGGACTCATCAGCGAGCTGGGTTCTACATGTATTCAGGATTCTATTCAGGATTCTATTTAGGATTCTAGCTACGACACACGTATGGACGTAGCTAACCGGTACGACTGTATTTTCGCAGAAGGAGGAGTTTTGTTTTCATCCAGCCAATCAGATCGCTCCAACAATAGGAGATAGAAGACTTCAGCAAGGTCCTGAAATGGGACTAGTTTCACGCTTTTGGGTTAGTTTCACCGAAAATGGATCACCGTTTCCTTGAAACTAACCCAAAAGCGTGAAACTAACCCAAAAGCGTGAAACTAACCCAAAAGCGTGAAACTAACCCAAAAAGCGTGAAACTAACCAAAAAGCGTGAAACTAGTACAGTATCTGTCATAGTAAATCAACGTAAACACGACTAAAAGCGTGAAACTAACTTAAAAGCGTGAAACTAACCCAAAAGCGTGAAACTAACCCAAAAAGCGTGAAACTAACCAAAAAAGCGTGAAACTGACCAAAAAGGGTGAAACTAACAAAAAGCGTAAACTAACCCAAAAGGGTGAAACTAACAAAAAGCGTGAAACTTTCCTTTGAGTCCCGTTTCAGGACCTTGCAGGGAGGGACGAACTTTGACACTTACGACTGTACTTCCCCTATTCATGATTCTAGCTACTAGTAGTCTATTCGCCATGATTTTTTTGGGCTTCCGAGATGCCCTGTAGAAATCCTACCAAGAAGATTCAATTTTGTGTTGACAGGTGGAAAAGAGGGACTTCACACTTCCTTTGAAACCACCAGAACCAGAGCTCGCTATAGCATACATAGTGTGTGCTTGTTCTCCCTTCACACACTTCGGCAACATACTGTACTTTTGCTCTCTTGGATTGAAACAATGAAGATCGCCTCTGTTCAAACTCTCTTTCTAGTAGTTCTCGCCGGCACAGTGAACTTGTGCAAGGGAATTGCAATTGATGCGGGCAATGAGGTACGCCGTGATCGAATCTTGCAAGAGTTTCTTCAGCCCCAAGAACTTGAAGACAGCTGTGGAGAGCTCGATTATGCATTGTTCATTGCAGTGGATAGAGGCCACTTGGGAATGTTTGCTCAGCCCACAAGGGAGGATCTTCCTGAGGATGATAATGTTGAAGAAAAGTGTGGACCTGTCTTCTTCCACCAAATGGACCCTGCTACCAAGGTAGTTGAACAATCCAGCATGGATAAATTCCCTCATGGTGCCCTCTACCCCCTTGGAAACCACAAAATGAGTGACATCTTGGAGGCTTTTGATTCTGTGCCAGTTTCCGATGCCGAGTATGACATCATCAAGAACCACTGTGCAATATTGGTCCTCCAAATGATGTGCTCTTTGAAGATTCCTGTTATCCATCAAATATTAGATTGGGTTGCTGATGAGCTAATGCGAAGGGACACCCATGACATCATTATGTTCCATGCCCATAACAGTACCAACTTTGATGTGCTTGGAATGGCCCGCAATGAGTCTACAACAACTACCATTCGTACTTTGGTTGCCTATGATGCTGACATGTTTTACTGTGTGGCTACAGATGATGTGAAACAGCAAGTTGAATGCTCCTCTGGTGCTGCAAGCAAAGTGTTTAGCTTCTTATTGGCTTTTGCTCTTCTTGCTGTTGTGACTGGTTTCATTACTGTCTGAAGTGAGTATAATATGCTTGGATTGGCGATGCATTGGTAGGGAATAATTAGAGATAAGTAGCTACATGCACATTGATTGTATCTTTGGTCTGCTTTGCTAGCTAGCTACGCTAGCGATTTTAAAAGTGCATTGCTCCTAGCTAGTTGTTTCAGGCGACACCCAAATGCTCCCTCAACAGTCACCGATGACTGTAATATATCCATGGATTGTTGTACGGTACCGCTGCCTCTTCTCATGCCGCACTGGCATGTGTGGTGGTACCGGTGCTGTCTGGAACACCCACGATAAAAGTCTTAAATCACTGTAGTCAAGCCTTCTAAGTCATATGGCCTAACTCTAGTCGTGATTGTCGGAATTCTGAAACCACGATGTCGGAAAATGTCGACGTTTGTACGAGAATGTCGGCGTTTGTAGGAGAATGTCTGCATTTGTCGGAAAATGTCGGCAAAATGTCGGAAGGTTTCCGGACATTTCAGCGAGAATTTTCCGACATTTAAAACGGATGACTTTCGCTGTTTAAGTCGTGTTCTTCACTGGTTGGTACTTTCTCTTTGATAGAACCCTACAATTCGGAACCCTGTTAACTCATTCAACGGTCTCTTAAATGTCGGATTTAACTCGCCAAAATGTCGGCAAAATGTCGGCAGAATGTCGGCAATGTCTGAGAATGTCGGCGTTTGTACGAGAATGTCGGAGTTTGTACGAGAATGTCTGCATTTGTTGGAAAATGTCGGGACATTGTCGGGAAACTTTCTTCCGTCATTTAGGCCATATGATTTATAAGCTGTGCCGGTCATATATCTTTTTAAAAGACTTTATCGAGAGTGTTCCTGGGTTGTGAGAGGTTTTGGTGAGGCGTGGGAGTCGAAGTCAGTTGAGTGACGTCGTTGTGCCGGAATACGAGGTCTTTCTCTCATTCGTCAGCACGAATTCTCTTTGGGGCGGCCGAGCCACCGAAGCCAACAAATTGCGCTTACGCAGCTGCCAAAATAGACTAGAGATTCGATTCGACTGCCGATGTTCTGGCTTTATCTCGGAGGAAGAAGAAGATCCTGGGTTGGGTCTGTCTCCGATAGAGACAAGTATCCAACGGTACCGGTAGAGACAAACAAACTGAGGAAAGCAAGGACGAGTTGAGTTTGGACATTGCATGAGCTACTAGCTAGCTAGAGTAGAAGGATGAAGAAATCAGCTCCACGAAAGATGCGTCCTTCTTGGGTGTTGCCCATGGTTGTGCTGGTGGCAGCCACCTGCTCAAATCGTCATAGTGTTGGTGTGGATGCCTATGCTTCGGTTGCCTCACCCACTGTGATACCGGCAGGAACGGCATACACCGTTTTTGTACCAAAGGAAGTACATGTAGTTCAGCAACAGCAGAAAAGACACGCATGGAGTCTGGTAGTCCCTGCCATTTCCGACACGGACAAGGCAGACCACGAACAAGCATTGGCGGACAGACGGCACAGCAAAGATGCATCTTCTTCTGAACAGCGACAGCCGATGAAGTATGATCTCGGCATTGGAAAGAATGCACCTGTAGTTGGCAGCCAGATTAGCCGAGCAATGATGTCGTCAAGGCAGCAGAACCAACAGGAGACTACTCAGTATCTGATGGAACACGAAGCTGTGCGAAGCATTCCTTCACCCAAAGAAACGGCAGCCTTGTGGAATCACAACCAAGGTCTGTATCAACAACAGCAAGAACCAAAGATACCAGGGCGGTCCAACAAGAAGCACTCGAAAGCAAGGCACATTCCTCCCATGACAGCGTCATTGGCCAGCGAGCAAAAGCAACATGAGTACACGGTTCTTCACCACCAGAAGGAGGACAACAGCCAAAAGGCCAAGATGAAAAGACCCAAGCTCGACTATCGACAGCGTGCCAGGGATGCTCTGTTTATTCAAAAAACGACGACACTGTCAGCCTCTTCTTCTGCATCCGCCAATGAACCCAAGGAAACCTTGACCGTCGGGTGGAAGACATCCGATCAGCTAGACCCAAACACCATTTGGGTGGAAATGTTGCTTGCTCACAGTGAACAAGCAATGCTACGAGCAGCTGCCGCTCACTCATAAGAAGGAAGATGAGCAATGTGCAATCGAGTGGATTCGATTATCATTCTCTGACGTTTCTTGCAAGCTAGAAGCAAGCAAGCTAATTCTACTGTAACAAGATTTTGTATGGAAATGAACTACAATAGAAACCCCACCACTAGTAGCTGGCTAGACTAGGTCGGCCAGAAATTCCGAAAAAGGACAAGACTTCGTGTTGGATGCCGTTCCTTCAAGTTTCGCTCCCGACTAGCTACCGGTAGTAGGAATGACCTTGGAGCGAGGTGCCGGTTCTGTCACGCAGCAACCAGTACCATACAGCCAGCCATAAAGGGTCACTCTGGAACCATCTTATTATTGTACCGTACCGTACCGGTACCTTACTGACAACTCAACTCTGGAGGTACGGGCTTCCTTCAAGTTGCCCCGACGAAGCCCTCCGGAATCTCTAATCTTCTTGGCCCTTTCGAGGAACTTAGATAAAGCAACCAACCAATCCACCCAAAAGTCATCATTCTTGTTGTAGCTACTGGGAACTAAAAGCTCTGGTGGTTGCCCCCGCCAAGCCTTCTAGCTAGAACTTTCAGGCTTGAACTGAGCATCAATCATACCAGCCAGGCAGCCCATTCAGAGTCATTCACTTCTTGCACCCTTCTCGGTTGTACTGGCAGCTCGACTCTGGCCGTGACTACCCGAATATATCCTTTGCATGCATGAAATGCCCGAATTACTGATCCCTGGAGGCATTGAAACTTCAGGTATTCAAAAGTCATCATGGTCATGAGAGCTCTGGGTGCATGGACATGAGAGACCATCAAAGCCACACCCAAGACCACAGCAATACTACCTGGTAATTGGTAGCACCAGCTTGATAGTAGCATGGATGATTAGCTCTACGATTGAGGGCGCGAATAGATATGGTGTTGCTGCATTCTTTAACTGGAAGTAACGAGACTGGAAGCACGGTTGAAATCCCGCATTGGAATAGCTATTGGGATACCGTTGGACGGACGTCGGACTCCCGCGGATGGAGATTTTGATGATGATTACGCGAAAACGAAGCTGAGGCACTCGCGAAACGTATTTCCGCTTTGCTCGCTGCAAAATGGGAACGCCCTTACTCAGTGGTGCGTGGCTACGTTAATGCTCGGCTCAGCCTAGCTATTCTTCGGGCCCGCCACCTCTGCATGCGTGGCTCTCGTGTCCCTGCTGGCACAATGAGCTACCGTCGTTCTCTCTGGGATGCCGATGGTGCGCTTGCACTCTTCCGCTAATTTTGCTCCCTTGTCCTTCCTGGTTTTCCTCCCTGCACCCCCCTTCCCTGCCCCCCCCTTGTTTTGCCCTGCTCGCGTCCTCATTGCTCTCCCCGTATGCCCACCACACCAGCCCCCCACCACCGCAGCCACTGCTTTGCCTAGCCTCGCCCCCCTCGCTCCTTAACGTATCTATTTAGTCTTTATTTTCAGAAAAAACGATTACGCCATTATTTCTCACCAAGCTACAGACAGCACAGCTCTGGTCATTCTGATGAGAAAGATGGATGCTTTGAGAACGGATAGTTCTGAGATGCAAGGCAAGGACTGATGACTCAGGAGAGTGGGTAAGACAATCCCAGTTACGGTGAGTTGTTTTGGGGCACCCCCAGCCAGGCAACCACCTTGCAAGCCAAAATATTGCACTTTAAAAGCAAAGCCCAACTGATACATGCTTCTAAAGTAGAACTGTACTTTCTCCTAATAAATCTTTCTTATGTAATGTTAGTGACCCCAATCATTTCTCTTGTCAACTACTACCAATGAGGTCACCTCTTGATGCAATTCCTCTGCCTTCATCCTGCCCAACCATCAACGCATGCACCGGTTTCTGTTTTGTTTGCTTCCATAGGAAAGGCCCAGCTCACCTTACTTTCCTTTTAGTTACCTGACAAAGTTGCACTTCAGACAGCAATGAAACCAGTCACAACAGCAAGAAGAGCGAGAGACAAGAGGCTAAACACTTTGCTTGCACCAGAGCACTCGACTTGCTGTTTCACATCTGTGGCAGTGCAGTAGAACATGTCAGCATCATAGGCCACAAGAGTACGAATGGTAGTTGTTGTAGACTCATTGTGGGCCATTCCAAGCACATCAAAGTTGGTACTGTTATGAGCAAGAGAAATGATGTGGTCACGGGCTTCGTTGGTTTTCATGAGCTCATCACCAACCCAATCTAACATTTGCTGGATAACAGGAATCTCCAAAGAGCACATCATATGAAGGACCAACAAAGCACAGTGGTGCTTGATGATGTCATACTCGGCATCGGAAACTGGCACAGAATCAAAAGCCTCCAAGAGGTCACTCATGTCATGGTCTCCAAGGGGGTAGAGAGCACCAGGAGCAAATTTATTCAAGCTGGATTGACCAACTTCCTTGGTAGCAGGGTCTTTTTGGTGGAAGAAGACAGGTCCACACTTTTCTTCTTGGACATCACCCTCAGGAAGATCCCTTGTGGGCTGAGCAAAAAGTCCCAAGTGGTCTCTATCCACTGCAATGAACAATTCGTAATTGAGCCTTCCACAGCTGTCTTCAAGTGCTTGAGGATGAATCAACTCTATCAAGATTCGATCACGAAGATCAGTAGCGCAATGTTGGTAGGTTCCCAAGCACAAATTCACTGTGCCAGCGAGAACAACTAGTAGAAGAGGTTGAACAGAGGAGATCTTCATTGTTTCGATCCAATCCAGGGAGCAGAAAATATGTTGTCGAAGTGGTGGAAGGCAGGGGTAACAATCACACAAGGATTATGCGCAAATTGATGAAAGAGCCGGCTAGCTAGTACATTGTAGTGGTGGTTCTGGTAGCTTCAAAGAGTCATTGGAAGCGTGAAGTCCGTCTTAGATACCATACTCAGTAGTGGAAAAGACGCCTCAAGCAAGTCAAGTGCATTGGGAATAACTGTTCGTTGCTTAAGCCTGGCCCCTGCTGGCTTCCGTAGTAGATAATCTACCTACTCTAAACCCCCTTTGTCGTCTACATATCTGGAATCCTGAATAGATTTCATCTCACAAACGGTAAAAGCAGTCTTGGATACCGTAGTGGAAAAGACACCTCGAGCAAGTCAAGCCATTGGAAATGACCTATCTACTAGCTACCGTAGTAGCTGGAAGCCTGAATAGAATTCATCTCACAAACGGCAAAAGCAGTCTTGGTTACCATAGCGGAAAAGACGCATCAAGTCATTGGGAATGACCTATCTATCTGGAATCCTGAATAGAATCCATCTCACAAACGGTAAAAGCAGTCTTGGATACCTTATTAATAGTGGAAAAGACGCATCAAGTCATTGGGAATGACCTATCTCTAGATGGAATCCTGAATAGAATCCATCTCACAAACGGTAAAAGCAGTCTTGGATACTGTATTAATAGTTGAAAAGAAGATGCCTCAGGCAAGTCAAGTGCACTGGGAATACCTACCTATACTGGAATCTTTAGGTGGCGTAATCTGGAAGAATGACACAATCTGAAAGATTGCTGCAATTCGGAAGCATGACTCAAAGTGGAAGATTAACCCAACTTGCTGGTGACCAACCAAAAGGAACTGCTTCAAGAGCCCATTCCCCGCAACTCCAACAATGGAAGACAATTTTTGGCCCCCGTGCTGCTCCTCAATTTCTTGCCCCTGATCCCACCGAACCTAGCTAGTCCTGAATATTGACTCTTCTTTGCTTATTAAGCCTGGCCCTGGCTGGCTTCCATAGATAATCCACCTACTCTAAACCCCCCATATCGTTATTATGAGAGCGAAGGTGGCAGCCATGATGGAGGGGAGCTCGTCGTCACGCACATGATTGCCAAAGATCTGCTTCACCTCTTCTTCAGACCCGAAAAAAGACAGGCGTCAAAAAGGGGGGTCTAGCCACTAAAGGTAGGTTGTTGGGGGGGATGTGGCTAAATTCAGCACTACATGTACAGTACTAGTCTAG